AATTAAGGAGTACACGTCAACGTTAAGTTAGATTGTTTCTCACTTTCCGATACGGAAGAAAGAAACATTTTCAGTTGGATATTATTACTGTTATGTACATATTTCACTGCATTCTGTAGTACAAATCAACGTAATGCCAGGAAACATTTTAGATACTACATTTCTATCTAGATTAAATCGTAAGATTTATTAAATAAAGTTCTTTGAATGAATAGTTACATCAACATTTCTTTCCATTCTAATACAAAAAATTAAATTTAAATGGCAAAAATTTTTAATTCGTTTGTATACTAAATTAAGTAGTTTAAGTCAATATTGAGGCAGATTATTTTCTCAATGTATTCAATGTAAAGTAAATTAAATTCATCCGTTGTAATTATACTGTATAATAAAAAAAGAATTTTTTATTTTATTGTCTTCTACACTTTCACTTTGATTTAATACTTTGGAATATTAGTTTAAGTAGTGTGGGTCAGTATTGAAGCAGCCTGATTTCTGCATATTTTTTCATCAAAGTTTCTAAAATTTTAGATATATTGAGTACAGCACGTTACATAAACTCAACTAAGTAATACAAATCAATATTAGGTCAGCCAATCTTTTCCCCTTTCCGGTACGAAAGAAAAATATACTTTGGAGCATTTGGATTCTAATAAATCGTACATTCAACTCATCAATACTACAAGTCGATACAACAAGTTAATAATAAAGCAGAAGATTTTTTTCACTTATTCAAGTAGTAAAACTGCCGATTCACAAAACGTTTTCGGTATATCATGCTACATCAATTTTTTATACACTAAATTAAGTAGTACAAGTCAATATACAGGCAGCCTTTTTTCCTTGGTAGATATGACGAGGAGGGGGAGGTTCCGTTTCCCACCTTAAGACAATAACCTCTCTGACTCGTCAATTGATCAAAGAAAAAAAAGCCGAGCACTCGCTCGAATGGAGACAAAACCGAGCCACTCCTCTATCGACTCGAGCGCATTGTATTCGCGGACGCATTGGCGTTATGAACAGCACCGATTATTCGGAGCATTTACAAGCTGTGTGCCGTGTACAGTCAAAGAGAAGAGGGGGGGGGGGCAGTTAAGTGGTCCTCGACATTGACTGGAATTTCGCTAATGCAGCCCAGCGCGTGTGTACGTATACGTACGTATACTACGCCAGTCAGCCCAGCCGTAAACTCCGAGAGCTAAGAAAACACGAGCTGCTGCTGTTGATTCCTCCGCTCAAGGCGCCCTTTGGAAAAGAAAATAAATAAAATAAACGCCCCAGTTTGCTACGAAAATAAACTGACGACGCCGTGTGAAGGGGACAAAGCCCGTTAGCGCGGGGGGGGGGGGAATCAAGTGATCTTTAAATTTCACTTGCGCTGGGACGCGTAAACACCGTCGAGCTCTGCCGGCGCGATGAAATGGCTCGTTTATAATGGGACGCGATCGCGCGCGACGCGAATCGTTTAAATTAAAGTGGCTGCGTGATTTAGGTTTCCCAGTATATACCTCTCGAATTAATCGCGGCAGCACAGATGGGAAGGTATTAAAACTTGAAGTTACCGAGGAAAATGTAGTGTAATCCGAGTCGCGCAAAAGTCGAAACTCCGGCTGCTCTCGATTGACTTTCAATCTTTGAGTGCACTGCAGCCTGAGAGTGTATTAGTTGGCTGAAACTTGAACCCAACACTTACCGGCTGCGTGTGTACTTTTTTCTTTCCTTTTACGCTCTTATACTTTTTTCCCAATGCAAGAAGTGCGTCTAGAACTTTTTGTTTGCTCTTTTTTCAACATTGTGTAAATGTACTTTGATAAATAATTTTTTTTCCTTTAATTTACATTACTACTGTGTGTTTGGATGTATTTCAATCAGTAAAACGTATTAAAGTTATTTCCAGTCTTTAAAACGAAAATTCAAACGTTTGAAATATTTCAAAAGTTATGATTAATATTATGTTTTAAAATGATTACATTTACTTTGATTTTGTACTTTCGTCAATGCAATCATAAACAATTTGTTGTATCGATTATAGAGTAAAAAGTACAACACGAAAAAAATGACATTATCTGAAGTACAATTTTTTCTCGAAACACAGTCGTGTCAAACGTCAACTTGGCTCAACATAAAAATTATCTGAGTTATATCTTATAGTCAAGCTGACTATCTTCATATTGGACTCGAAATTTTTTTTGTGACACCAATGATCGACGATTCATGTACACTCTTTGCTCTCCCAAAAATGCAAATGGCTTCATTGGAAACTACTCTCTGTTTCGAGGGAGAAAAAGAGGATTTTTTTCTTTCTCGCCGTGGATTTGAAAGTTGGCAAGTCTTCGGGGGACAGCTGCTGGTCTCCTGCTGTTGAAATATGCATTGGAAAAACTCCACGGAAATGAGATCATTTAGGATAAGGCTAAGCTGTTGCAGAGAGAGAAAGAGATGTCATTGCTATACGCGCTCGGGTGTCATTAAAATACTGAAGTTTTCATTAGGAATTGTAAGTGTAGTGTGGTTTAATGGGTATACGTAATTGTGTCCACGTTATTTTCACGTCATTTCATATCTCGAGGGATCGTTATAAAAAGGACTTTTATCAATGGCTGATTAAAGAAATTTCTCGGGGTGTTTAATTAAAGTTTTATCAACGTGGACTAGCACGCTGTTTTTATGATACCAGCACAAAGATGATAGCCTCGTATTTACGTGCCACCAAGAGTACATGCATAAAAAATAACACGTATCATATGTACCTCTGCATCTACTTGCTTCTATTTTTATATTACATTTACATACACCCGCGCACTTGAGCTTCGTGCATTTTTAACTTGAAGCAAAAGTAGATGAAAAAAGTCTCTCAAAAGATTCTTCTTTTTTGCGTCATATGTTTCTCTTTCGAATGTCGCGCAGTAGAAAAACAACGGTAAATATTTAATTTAGCGTTACTTGGGATAATTTGTTATTTCAGAAAAGATAATGTTTAATACATATAAAAATATAATATTAATGGACTTAAACTTTCTGCGTGATTTCTCTGACGTTTCGTCAGCTAATAGTGGGAAGAGCCAAATAAAACAAAAACCAAAATTTGATATAAAACAAAAAAACAAAAAAAGGCTGTTTAATCCATATTTCAAGTAACAAACAACACCCTCAGCATCCAGTTTTTGCTCAAAGGTTAAAGCAGTTGCTTATAAAGAAAACATTTTTCCAGTGGCTTGCACTAGCCAGCCAAAGTACACGTACTGTGCCATGAAATACTTGTTTCTAAATGCAGCATCGGCGTACACGGCCCGGAGCTCACATGCAAAGCATACAATGGTATAATTTATGAAACCAACGGGGTCATGTACCTCGAGACCTTTTTTTTTTTTTTCATTCGGGCTAGTTTTAGAAAAATTAAACAAAAAATGAATAGCCCCCGTAAGTACTTTACCGTCCCACAACTGCCTACACGCCATTACGATAAAATACATTGGTCCGAACAACAAACAAAAAAAGAACACTATACTGTATGTATGTAGTATACGTTGATAGTTTGNATAAAGTACGGAAGACAAATGAAAAATAGGGGAAATTATCCGCTGGCGTGTGTAATGTTTTCATACAAAACCCGAGCTGTTATTTATGCCCGCGAAGAAGGTATCGTATACATACATACATACATACACATCTGTGTATGGTACTATACGTATAGGGATACAAAAGAGCAAGCAGCACGCGATTTTCATTCTAACACGCTCTATGTCGTGTGTCGTCGTCGTTGTTGTTGTTGTTTCATGCAACAGGGGCTGCTCTTTGGTGATTTACGGGATACGAGGGTACGTGACTGTGCGAGCATCGTTTTTCAGGACGCTTTTGTACATGGCGCGAATATGAGGGAATAGGTTTATCTACGATGTGTATTGAATGCGCGTAATACGTGCTAGTCCGCGACAAATTGATTTTTCATAACATTAAGACGGATTTATTGATCATGGACGGAAAAATCTGCTACTTTTTTTTTTAAATATAATTGAGGCATGATGAAAATGTAGTATTTACAAAGAAATGGCTCGGATAAAGGGATTTTTGACAGTTGAATTTTACTAACAGTAGTGACGACTAAATCAATAGTTTAGCCTCGTGTAGCCTATAGCATTGACTTTTTAAATTATTTATAAAGCTAATCTTCTATTGTATTAGTAGTTTCTTTGACAACTTTACGTTTATCCGAGCTTAATCACTTCGTTTAAGAATTGGCCATAAAAAAAGTCCCTCGTTGATTTCGTATGCATCATGCTTCCAATTCCTCGTTCCATATGCATTTTTCATATCCCAAATAGCAATAAAAAAACGGAACAGTGCATGGATGGAATTTCTCGTTAAAAGCCTCTTTCCCAATAACTTCTCATTGGTCTGACGACCACCGTCCTTCTACGCCGATATCGAAATGTCAAAAAGAAAGAAAAAAAAAAAAAAAAAAGGAAAAAAAGCCAGTGGCAAGCACCTCTTGTAGAACGAGCGCATATGAAAACGGGGGGTATCGATCGCCGGACGCTGCTGGCACGTATCCGTATTGCGCAAGATCTCGCGTGTGTAAGCTCCGTGTAATGGGATATGGGAACGCGTAATGCCGCGAGTCGGTGGGTTTTTATTGTTACGGTGTTGTATTAGGGGTGGGGTACAATTGTTTTATAGACTTTTAAGAAATTGGAGAACGAAAAGAAAATTTTTTTCCCGGAATTACGAGTTTTTGTACTGCTACCCACAATACGATGAACCCAAAAAATGTGGGGCAATGAGTTATTACAGAATGAGATACATAACTAATACTTTAATGCTTTTTTCAAGTAATTTACAATTTTTTTTTAAACACCATGCATCATTTTGGCCACAAAACATTATTTTAAGTAAAGTATTAATGAGTAAAATATAAAAAATAAATATTGTAGCACAAATAATGCACAAAGTGTTGATTTTACAATAAAATGTTGACGATTGTGTGTTTTTGTCTGTTACAGTGACGGTCGATTGGTCGAGGGTGACCAGATACTGGCGATCGATGGACAGCCCCTGGACTCCAACATCTCCCATGACCAGGCGATTGCCATACTGCAGAAGGCGAGGGGCCTAGTCGAGCTGATCGTTGCAAGAAGCCCCCAAGGTACGTCCTACACGTAAAATGAATCAGCTCTGCTGCCCCTCTCCCATCCCCGTTTTACGAGAGCTTTCACCATTATGCACTCCACCGCCCAGCTTTCGGCTCCTTTTTATGCCCTTGTTTCATGTAAATTTCAATGCACCGCGCTTAAACTATAAATTTCGCGAGTGCCGATGACGCGTTGAGTACCCTCGCGCGTTGCATAAGTTTCTCACTTTTGGGATTTTTCACGCGAATAGATGTGGGATTAAATTACGCTGTAAAATCTTTGGGAGCTGATGTACCACGGTGAACCAATTGCTACACTTTTTGCCATTCAAGTTAAAATTTTTGTCCATCAGATTGAAAAAATTTTACTCACGTTGATAATGATAAAAAGTGTCATTATTGTCAAATTATACGAGTCTCGAGACAACGGCAAAAACGTAATCGAGCTTGTCTCGATGAAAAAACGGAACCACTTTTCGCCCGCGTAATTCCGAGGTTGCTCTCTACAGTCGACTGCCCACCGAGAAAGAGATTGCGCGAGGAAAAAGGAGAATCCAATTTTTTTTTCCCCCCCCTTCATCGGAGCTACCTCATAAAAAACACCCCATCTTTGTAAGACGAGGAAAAAAAAGAGGGCGTATTTTTTTGTTGGTTTCGCGCTTTCAAAATTCACCACAACAAAGTGGCCTTGCTGCTGTTGCGGACTCCACAAAAAGGAAAAAGAAATAGACCGAGCCCGCGTGGGAATTCAATTTGACGTAACAGCGTGGGAGCCAAAAAATCACGTATGCGCATACTGTATTTTGTACATTCTCCCGGGATATAGGAGTGCGGGTGATGTGCCCTCATCGAAATTCAGCTCCTCCGTGGGTGCACGTACATTGTATCGAGCCATCGATATTCGAGCGACACCCGCGAGAAGATGAATGACTGGCCACTTGCACTCTGCAGCTATGATCTGCCGGTGTCTCTATATTTATCTGAGCTTAAAGAGCATTCGCTCCGTAAGAACGATGACTTGCTCATTTTTTGTTGCTTCGATCGAAAAATAACCCTTAATTCCTCGAATCGTTGCATAAAAGCTCGCAAGCAATCGACAACAACAACAAAAACAACAGCAGTAAATTAATGGAGCTTTTTTAAGGCAAAAAGAACGCCACTCGTTGTCCGTAAAAAACAAAAGTACCTCGGAGTGCGCAATTTTCTTTGGCTCTCTTGGTCGTCCACTCGAAACCCATCAAAGCCCAAAGAACTTCCGGCTCGAGGGTGCAGGGGAAAAAGGGGGAGGAGAAATTTTTCCTGTCAGTGGCCTGCAGTTAATTGAGCAATCGTGTTCCCAGGGGGTCGTCAATAATACCAAGGGGCGGGCAGGGTGTGCAATCATATCTCCAGAAGCTGGCCTGACCGGAAAATATCCTCTCTCTGGGACGTGGCTCTAAATGCTGCGCGAGTGTGACCCCCTCGGGTGTGTGTATACCAAGTAATTCCGAACTTTGGCTGTACGACGTTCCGATTTTCTGATGCCACTGCATCGTGAGCTTCGCCGCGCACTAAACATTGCTCAAAATTTTCCAGAGTTGGGGCTAAAAGCTACTTTCGGCAGTGAATGGACCGTGAAAACGTCGAAAACAGTTTTTCGTTGGCTGTATAGTGTGTGCTTTTAGTTTTTTTCGGGTGATGCTGTTTTTGTGTAACTTCAGTAAAAATATACTTTGATACATCAGTTGGATGATTCACCCGATAAGCAATTTTTACATTTGAAAGAGATATTTAGGTCGATATTAATTTCTTCGAGAGTTAACTGTGAGTCGATAGGTTTTTTGTGATTTGAAATAATTATCATAGCGCTGATCAGTCGAGATTGAAACTGATTACTGTGATCTCGAACAGGAAAGTCAAAAAACTGTTAATATGATTCTTTTGTTGAAGAGTGGCTACGAAAATAAGCAATTTCCGAATAATTTGGCTGCTTTCATATAACGTATCAAGTTGATGCTTTTTAGATTAATTAACTTAAATTCACTGTACTAAAATAAATATTTACCTATCAAAATATCATAATTTTGTTGGTTTACCTCGTAAATACGTGATTACTTTCTCAATGCAGATATTGCATTTTGCAGTACGTATATAATTATACCGCCGGTGAAACGTACACTTTACCACTTTTATACTTTTACGTTTTGGAGTGAACTCCGAAGTAGACATATTTTAAAGAAACTCTTTCAAATTTTAAGTTTGATACTCTGTTTATAATTTGTTGAAAAATTTCTCGAGTTCTCCAAGAGTATTTTCATAAAACCTGCGCATACGGGTACTTGAGAGCAGCTTTTGTTCCAACACATTTTAATGACGCAAAACAACATTTAAAAAATGCCACGTATCATATTGAATTTCATGGAAAATATTCAAGCTTCAAGCTTTAAAAAGCACAAGTACATCTTTTTACTCGAGTTTTTTATTTTCTTCTTTTTTTTTCAATAACGTGAAAAGGAAAAAAAAGAAATAGAAGTACACCGCTACAGTCAGACGTGCTTGAAACACTGATGTATATCATTTTTAATTTTTTCCCTCGGCTACGTTTATATAAATTTTTTATGTTTCACGAAAGTATCACGCGAACAAAGCATCGTTAAAAATATTCACCGACGCGATGCGCGAGAAACCATATAATTATTCGTACTAATTGAAAGAAGGTATTCAAAAGTTTGCATGAAAAAAAAAAAAAGTTCTCGTTTCCACGGTACTTGAAAGTTCTCAGGGGGATACATCATGTGGAACTTTAAATTATCAACAAGAGAATCAATAAAAACTCGTTTGAAAGTTTCAAGTCAAGTTATAAACTTCAAAGTGCTGGAGTATAAGTTACCTACAAGAAGCCCTCCTAATGGACGCCAGCCCCAATGATTTGCCTTGCTCTCGTTTTACTTTCACGAGACTAAATTGCATTTCCGGGTAAATAAAAATACCCGGCCATTTAATCATCCTCTCGGTTCCATTAAAATCGAGTTAGTCAACTTGTAATTTCACCGCGACGGGGCTTTCCAATAAAAGACATTTTTTCCCCCCTGGCGCAATAAACTCTTTGACGTGTATTTTCTGCGATATTACAGTGCCGTTTGCTCTTCCATGGCGTACTCGCTAAGAAATTCTTGGAATTTGCAATCACGGCAGAGTTTCATCAAAGATTCCAGCCAATTCAGAGTTCGTGTGGGTGTACATCGTTCCATTGAATTTGGTCGTTTAAATTAAATGACAATTAATTTCACCGTGACAAACAATAAAATCAATGTCCAGCCAATAGGCGTTCGTTGAACAAAAAAAATTATACCATTTCATTACAGCCTGTCCGGATTTCAGAAAGTCGTGCCAAAAACGTGTTCTCCCTCTTTGGACTCAGCGAACTGCAAACCTTATAGGTTCAGAGAGGCTCGAGCCCCATAGTGGCCCATTTAAAGGGAGGGTTACGCGCTGCTTCGCAAGTTGGAAACTTTTAATTGGGTGTCGCGCGCCAATTACCACCACTAAATCGCACACCGGAAAAAAAAAATCTCTTTTAACGTTCGGTGCTATGAAAAATCCCCGAAAGATGAATATCGCGCGGGCTGGTGTAGCAACTACGTGGCCCGAGAGTTGGCTCTCTCACCTTTAAATTTTGACGCGCGAGTCTTGAAGGTAAATTAGACGGAAGTTTGTCCGCCACCGCTGAGGAATGCGCACCGCGGGAGAGCGGCTGAGATATTAGAGGATGAAATATGAAGGTGCCAGCAGCTTGGGGCTCGCTCGGGTATGATTATGCATGAAAAAATAATTGCGTTCGCGAAGTAGCTCTCCTCGAGCGAGTCTTGTAATCGGATTGCGGGGTCTTGCGTGCTGCCACGGAGACGCGTTAATAAACAGGGGATTGCATTTTTTACGGGCTTACGCGATGGTGTGAGCTCGTTTTTTAATTGCTATAACTGCGACCTCTGGGATTTGTTTATCACTGGTGGGGCTTTTTTTTTTGCTTTGTTTTCGAGTTACTGGTTTTGGGTTATTTTTGTGTATACGTCAATTAATTTTTTTTTTATACGTTTTTTTTCGTTTGTACATACACACATTTTAAAATATATAATTGTACGATTGGTATAGTTATTGTTTTTAACGAATTATGAAGATTTATTCATAAATGCAAGGGTATATGATTGGCTTATAATTATTGTGAATATGCATATCATGTGTATTTTAGAAACTATACCGAAATTATAAAATATATTTTAATTCTCTTTTTTGGAACTGAAATTGTACGTGAATCGGCGTCACATTCAGTGGAGTAAGGTATAACTAAAGTAAATATTTCTGAAACAAACAAATACTTAAACATAAAACAGCATCCGACAAGTAATACAATTCCTGACAATCAAATTCAATTCAGTGACGAACGCGTTCACATCAATCAGTATAGCTAATGTAGTCAGGATTGAACTCACGTCGAAATTAGCTGAGTAATTCAATTTGGCTGGTATGGCTCAACTGAGCGAACTGGATGATTCTCTCGTGAAATTGATATTTCGCTTTTCGGAAACTGATTTTTCGTACAGAATAACAGATTAGACACTATAGTGCTCTATGGAAGTAACGTATATTCTTCAATATGATGCGATGACACAAAAAAAAATAATGTGACGACATCCGTCGTGTGACTTCAATGAGATGGTTTGAATTCAGAGAGATTAGGTCAAAGGAAGAAAAAAAAATTCTTTCACTCAAGAGTTGTGAAGAAAAACGCATCGTTATTTTTTTCAATTTGAAGTTTTATACAAGTGTATGTGCAGTCGTGAGCCAAAGTTGTGAATCTCACTGAAATGAAATTTTTTTCATACTTTTCTGTAGTAAGTCAAGCCTTAGATAGTTGAGTCACTAGTAATGATAAAAAAAATTGTTTTTGCTTTTTTCGATTCCCATAGTTTCGAAAAAAGTTTTCATCTAGTCCAACTCTTCGTTGCGTGTCATTTTAATTAATGATCTCTTTTACTGCAAATGTATACATTTTATCTTCTAGAGTAGCCTCAAATACCCCTGCAAACAATTAAAAATATGAAATATGTACAATTTCCGTGTGGCTACACCAAATTGCATTTTAATTTTAGTGGCTATTAGCCCAGTTTCCAAGACATTTTACCACTACAAAGCAGTAAACTGCAACTTGTATTATTTATGGGTATGTTTGTGAAATGCAAATAACAAATAGTAACATTACTTTACGACTCGAAGATAGTTGAGCTGCATTATTTTTCCATCGGAACATGTTCCGTACTCCATGAGCGAGAGCTATTACCTTACGGTTGTTTATTTTTTTCCAACCATGCAATTCACGCGTCAAACAACAAAAATTTTACTTAAAATTCTCCATCAACGTAATTAAACTTTAAATTACAAAAATAATCTCCAGCACAGCGTTATCGCAAAGGCACAGACGATCCTCGCGACACCGATCACTCGAGCGAACGATGATCGATGCCCCTGCGAGCCTGTGGCGTACGAGCGATACACAAAACGGCCATCCGAGCACACGTTCTCTCTGTTCCTCCGTAAAAAAATGTGCACAGCTCCGTTCCATACGTCAAAATCGCTTTGGAACCACCACCAGTAAAATCCTTTGCAATAAATCATTGCACGGCCGTCGAATTTCTCGACTACCGAAGCGTATATTATACATTTGGAAGGGGACTATATCAATCGGACGCGCTATTTAATCCTTGATCTCGTGAATTATATCCACGGCGCTGTTTGATTATTTCGTTTCGAGATAAATCGCTCGCGAGCTCTCATTTGTGCCGATTGCACAATTGTGTGAGTGTACGAGCGTTCGGAGAGACAGATGCGGGCGAGCTAATACGAACGAGGGCAAACAAAAGGAATCATTAGTCGATGGAAAACGAGTACTTTGCGATTATTCGCGCTTGTTTCGTTTTGGGTGCGTATGCACGATTAACCAGGCTTGGCTATCATTGTCAGTTGATTATGCTGATTCGATCGAGCAGACGGCATTTGTTGTTTTTTACGTTGGGGTGCGCGATTGCTTGCAAAATGATATTCGTAACGAAAAAGCAGAGCTCAAAGAGTTATTGGGCTCACGAATAATATTCTACGTCACGAATTCAAATTTTGGTTCTACTGAGCAGTAGATACGGCTAATAGAACAATTACAAACTGTACTATTTTGGCATGTCTGACCAAAATAGGTTTATACTACTTATTTTTGTAGATATTAAACGAATACGAGTTTTGGTTTTACTAACTGGAAGATAAGTATCAGAATAATTGAAAACTGTACTATTTTGGAATGTCTGACTAAAATCGATTTACACTACTTATTTTTGGTTATACGGTTATCAGAATAATTACAAACTGTACTGTTTTTGCATGCCTGACTAATGCGAATTTATACAACTTAATTTTCAATAATAAGTAGATATATGAATCTGAAATTGTAGTGGATCCGAATAACCCAAACTGCACTATTTTGGCATGCCTGACCAAAATCGATGTATACTACTTATTTTGTAGTACTGAAAGATATTATACGAATCTAATTTACTGTGCAGTATACGATTATCAGACCAATCCAAACTTGTACTATTTTAGCATGTCTGACCAAAACAGGTTTATACTACATATTTTTGGTAATGAGTAGATAATATATGAAACGAATACGAGTTTTGGTTTTACTAACTGGAAGATAAGATTATCAGAATGATTGAAAACTGTACTATTTTGGAATGTCTGACTAAAATCGATTTATATTACTTATTTTTGGTACCAATTAGATATCAACGTAGATCTTGTTGAACTAATTGTTTAGGATTTTTCGATAGTCACGAGAATTCTTGACGCAATGATACTCGGTGTGTTCTGTATAAAAAATGTTTTTAACAAAAAATGCAAAAACAAACGCCATCCCTTTGATCCCTCTGAAACTCGTACGGTGGTAGTAGATGCAGGTATGGGTAAGAAATCACCGATTGCCCTACATATGCAGGCTACACAGTAAGATATATCACCGCGGATTAAAGAGCTTCGATTTTACGGCCACCCCGGCGCAGTGGCTCGAATTGAATAGCCCCGATAAGCGGTCACGACTAATGACCTCTTTATTTCCGCCTTATGTTTGGATTATTGGGTTTTTGGGATGGCTGGTCTATTGAAATGCAGCGATTTGGCGAGAAAGGGTGGGCGATTTCGATTTCTGATTAACACCCCGCAACCAAGTACATTTATTTTCTCTTTTCATAAAACTCACAGTAACGAAAAAAAAAAAAAAAAAAAAAATCACGTTTCTTTTGTTTCAGACATTGGGAGCTCTCTGGCGACGGATGAGTTGTCCAAGGCGGCGGGTGCAAGCGCAGCGGCAGTCGGGGCCTGCGGAGCTGCAGGAACAGTCCCACAACTATCAACAGCAGCAGCAGTATCGTCTGTGCTCGCCCGTGGAAGTAGCAGCAGCCCTGACAGGGAAGCCAAGGTTGGCGTGGTGCAGTCGCAGCCGGCGACAGCAGCAGTGGTTGCCGCAACTGGACACACGACATGGTCGTCATCGGCGGCCGCTGTGGTGCAACCATCGTCAGAGCCGGCGGTCCAGCAGCCGGCAGTCGGGGCTTCGGTGCCCGTTGAGAGGAGCAACTCTGCCGTCAGTGACGCTTCCAAGGGTGGTGACATGGTGGTGAGGATTCTTTTTCTGTTTCTTTCACTCTGTTGGTTCGTTGGGTTCGATTGAAACGTGCAATTTGTATATTTTTTAGTTACGTTTACCTCTTTTAGTTTCAAAGTGTGTGTTGAAAAAAAATACATACTTAGTCGTGCACATGCGTGTGTGTATTAATTGTCTTAAATTTGATAAAAATTATTCTGTATTTTTCTCTTCAAAAGTGTACGTGATTTCCTATGTAATAGCTTGATTGTTTTCCATTTCGAAATTTTTTCACTCGTTTCAAAGTCACAGGATTTCTTAGTGTGTTTAGGACGTAAGCAGAATCTGGATGTGTTATATTTTCGGTTTTGAAAGCGGACTGTAAAACGTCTTACATTTTCATTTGATCAGCAAAATTTTCAAGAGTTCAAGTACTCAGAGCTGATCTCCATAGTTGCATCGTAACTTCTAGCTGCTTATGCAAATTACTCTGCTCCCCTGTCAGAAAATGTCATAAAAGTCCGATATTCGCTCCACCTCCGGCTTTGCCGTCTGTACTTTTAAAGTTTTTGTTTTATTTTCCAAACAAGATCACCGCACAGCTACGCGCACGCAAATTGAATCCATATGCGCGCGCGCAAAGAGAATCTACGTATGCAGAGCGCGAGTTTGAAAATCTTTTTGATCTATCGCCGAAAACTTCAGCCCCACCGCAGCCAACTAATGGAACTTGGAAAAAATTTCGTCGCTCCGTCAGGGCTGAAATTACGTTCCGACACCTATACCCCGTGCGTTCTATGGTAGATTGATTTTTCCCGAGAAAATACAAAGAAAAAGTCTCTTCGCCTCGGACGAGTGCGGAGCCCTGCTCTTTTTTTTTTTTTTTTTTTTTTTTTTTTTTTTTTTCTTAGCCCTGCGCTGCTCTGATAACGAAGCATTGTCGACTCTTTCGTCGCCTGGTGGTGCTTTTGTGCCGGGTCGGCGGTATTGGAAAAAAAAAAAAAAATTGTACAGATACACGAGGATGAGAAATGATGTAAACGATGTAAACGCTCGTGCTCGACACAAAAGAGTATATGTATGAAGGCTAAAGGTGAATTTTTCACGCGAAACAAAGGAAACGACAACTCCGGATTATTCCTGTTTTTCCGCCCTTTTCTGTGTCGAAAAAAAAATTAATTTTTTTGTTTTCATCCTGACATTTCACGTATCGAGAGACTTTCGCTACTAGCTGTTTTGTCAAAAAGAAACTCTTGACTGGGCGTATAGCTTCGATCGATTTTCAGCGAGCACGAACGCGTGTTATTGAAATATTCCGCATCGAAAAAGCCGTGCGCGCAGTTTTTTAGCTGCTCGATCGAAAACCATTTCGTTTTTATTTTGTTTTTTGTTCGGAGCTTTTTTATTGGGTCGCGATTGGTCACACAACTGTTAATTAAACAGCGCTAGGTGCTGTTTTTCCATACCAATGAAATTCACGGGAGGAAAACTCAGTTAACGAAAGTGCAAAAAAAAAAGTCATCGTCAAGATTTACCACCAACCTATAGGGAAAAGTCAGCTGTAGGTACACACAAGAGCCCAGGCAATTAATTGCACTCTAGTTTTGCAAGCACAATGCGCCGCGAAGCACTTTTTTTTCCCAAAATGAAGAAGTTTCAGCTCGGGTGTTTAGCAAGAGCGAAGTGTAGGACCCCCTCTTTGTTTCTACTCCCCATTCAACGTGAGCCAAACTTTGTCGTCGTCGTCGTTGTTATTGAAATGCTCATTTTTTTTTTCTCTGGACCCCCACGTTTTCTGCAATTGTTCCAATTTTTTTTTTTCTCTCTCTCCCTCTCTCTTTCGTTTTCTCGTGATTAGTGATTGTCAAATAATGGTAGGAACTGGAAAAGTAAAGCTTTTCACACCGAAGGATGGCAAGATGAATCTTTTAAAAGATTACTTTGACTATGTGACGACCTTTTGGCAAGCTGCTGAAAATTCCTTGTGAAAGTACACACGTAAATTAACTTATGAAATTATTTGTTCGCCGTGTTGATTTTCATTTTATTTGCGAAAAATTATCGTTAATTAATAATTAAATTTCATTAGACCAATAGAACTAATCGATCCAAGTATAAACAAAAATTTTAGCACAATTTTTTTACTGGATTTTTAAATACTTTGAAAGAATTTTTTTTCCTCAACAAAATGCATTTTTTTATGCTGAGACAATTATTTATTCATAAAAATTGTTTTCTGGAAAATAAGTGCAACGCTCACTTTACACGAAAAATCGTAAAATATTTAAGATAAAATATTGAAGTACTTTCTTCAAATACTTTACGACTCTTTAATTTCTAATATATTTTTTTTCCTTAAAATTTTAATGCACTGTTTTCGCTGGATACAATTTTGTTCAACTCTGTGTTATACGAGTACTTAGTTTTTAGCAAAAAAACCAAAAAAATTTTGTAAAAGTATCCGCGCTCGAGTCTGTATGAGTCAATTAAAAAACCATCATCTTTGTGACAACTGTATATTGATGAAAAAACATCAGTCCCCATTACACCACCGAAAATCCATCCCAGCGTCGAACAATGAAAAAGCTCGTTTCGCCACGCGCTCGAGAGATCCGTTAACTCTCCAAACCAACCCCCTCCGATCCGTTCGCCAACTCAATTAAGATCCCAAATTGGAAATCGTTCTTTAATTGAGCACCGGCTCGTACCGTACAGGTATACGTACTACACGTTGTTCACCGGCGTGTACAGTTGCTCGCGCGAGCGGAAGACTTTGATAAACCTCCGATGCCGAGAGAGAAAACCCACCCGCGCATTGTCCTCGGCGCTTGTCCCCATCGACATTCAATCAACAGACGCCCTTTTACCATCGCCATAAACAATACAATTACCTGGTCTGCGAGGATCGTTATAAGGGAGGATCGGAGAGCTCCATGGTTCGCGCGTGCTCGTACCATGTTGGTCTGGCCGGAGTCCAATGTAGTATACTCCCCGACCCCTTCCCCCCCCCCCACAGATCCAATCGTCGCTTTTAACAGCGACGTTTATTGTTCGACCATTCTGGGCATATTACGCGCGTCATGTATGACTCTATACGTCACGTATATCTGCTCTTTTATTCCCCTCTTTGAGTGTTGTCGTAGCGATTGATGTCCTCCCCATCGATTCAATCGTCATAGGTACATGCAATTGTTACGTGGTGGCTAGACTGATGATCACTTGGTTTTTCTTCATGCGACTTTGCATAAAAGCCTTTATCGAACTGAAATGAGAAAGATCCAATACCTCTCTGTGCATGAACCACCATTATTGGCGTAGTTGTACGATTCATTGCACGACTGTCTACATGTCTACTTTCAGCTGAACACCGAATGGGCGCAAGTGGAAGTAATCAACCTGATTAACGATGGCAGCGGCCTTGGCTTCGGTATCATCGGCGGACGAAGTACCGGCGTCGTCGTCAAGACCATTCTTCCCGGCGGAGTGGCCGATCGCGTAAGTACATCACGTATACGTGCTTGTCGAAATTACCTAGGAGTGCTCGTTTTTTTTTTTTTTTTTTTTTTCCTCATATTTCGTAGTGGCAGTACTGTCTGTTTCATTTGTTTGAGCAAGCCAAAATTAAAATGGTACAGGTTTTCATTGTATCAATTGTAGGAATGAATGAAAGACCTTATCTGATTACTTGTGACAAAAAAATGACTAAAACCTACGTTGGAATCAAATTTATCGTAATTTTGAGTTGACAATTTTTTTCTTTACCAATACGTCGATTAGTATGCATTTTTGCGAAAAGTCAATTGAAGTGTACAGTAGGCCGAGTGATCTTTCTATTGCAATGAAAGTAGATCGAAGCCTCGCAAATAACTCGCTCCTCGAGAAAACTAATCGAAAACGTAGCCTCTCATTAATTGGGACGAAGGAGTTGAAATCACTCCCGTTGAGTTTTCTCCAATCTTCCCATCAGTTTTCCTCGAGACGATGACATTCGTTTGGATGGAAAATTTTATATTTTCAGGACAATCGGCTGCAGAGCGGCGATCACATCCTGCAGATCGGCGATGTCAACCTACGCGGCATGGGTAGCGAACAGGTCGCCGCGGTGCTGCGCCAGTCGGGCACCCACGTGCGCCTCGTCGTTGCTCGGCCCGTCGAGCCAACCTCCCCGGACTACCAGGTGGGTTTCGTCGTACCTCTCCCACGAGTGTTTTTTTCTTCTTTTTTTTTTACACCCTCCCTTTTTCGGAGCCCACGGAGGCTAGGCTGAGATACTTTTCTACGTGAAATGCCGCATTGTATTGTTTTTTCATCTATGATCTCCAGCCTACCTTCCGTTGAACAATATTGGAATATTTATTATACAGAATAATGAGTAAACTAATTGATGCGGGACATGAAATCTGACACGATAAAACAACAACAAATTTTCCAGAGCACCGTACTCGGGGACAAAATCGGAGTGAGTTTGGGCCAATCAATATTCGAACAATTATTTTAGATGTTCATTATTATTGTTGCGATTTTACTTTTTTCCTCCAATATGGCTTTTCACCAGCAAACGAGCCCCTTCTCTTCCGCCCTTTTGACAAATTTGTGTTTGTTTGTTTGTTTGTTTTTTTTTTTTTTTTTTTTTTTTTTTTTTTTTTCATCCTATCTCCAAACGACGTGCCTACGCATGCTCCAGCATATCCATTTTTCAGTGGACACTTATTTTCCCCGCATGTAGCTTTTTATTACTCAACCCTGCGCTGCTGCATTCACGTTCGCGAACAAAAGAGAATTGTTTTGCTCTTCCTATTTTTTTTTTCCTTTTTTCTTTTTCATTACAGTTTCATTGTTATAGTACAGGTTTTTTCTTTACTATTTTTTTTTCTTCTATACCTTTTTAAATTAATGTCGCACACACCCGCACATATTACATAATTTCCATACAAGCATTAGTCGAAGCACTTAAAATGTGTCGTAGCATTACTCATGTTTAAATGTGCATATACCTTTAAAAGCGTCATTATAATATAACTAAAATTTGAAGAAAAAAAAAAAAAAAAAAAAAATGCACACACGCTTACCACCTATACTTTTAAAATAATAAATACTAATAGTACCAATTAAAATGATAAAATTTTAAAAATTTTAATTGAATGTCTTATAGAGAAATAAAGAGAGCGTAGTATGGCTTTGATAGGACATAGACCTCGCGTATAGCTTATACCGTAGTATATGTGTTGGTAGAGCGCGGCTGATAAAGTGCCATGGGCCATTCGTAAGTATCGGACAAAAAAATAGATTTAATTAAAACTAACGAATGGCCCGCATGATGACATTGTATAGTGACGAGCAAGCAAAACTCCCTAACGAAGCGTGGGATGAGCCCCGCAGTGGGAGGACTTTTCCTCCCCCCTCCCCACTGGGTATCCTCTCACTCGTGTGTGCTTGTCGTTATAGACTCCTCAAACCAATAACCATAGATTACAACAACCCATAGACAAAAAAAACCAACCTTTGCTCCACCCGCGGTCTACCGATCGGTGTAACAAGTGTATTTGTATGACCTCGCGCAGGCACTGGGCAGCCAAGCTCCGATCGTTCCGACCAAGGTCCTCGGCGACCCGGAGGAACTGGACCGGTACCTCCTGCGCAGCGGAGTCGAGCCTCACGGGGCCGTCGGTAGGAGGCCCCCCGACACCAGCTTCGACAACGGCAGCATCTACGGGCCCGAGTCCGAGCTCGACTTGCAGGTACAATAACTACAACTTTTCTCCATTTCGAGGGCCAACGCGCACCCAACTAAGCCGATTTCCGTCCGCGTGTATCCGCGAGGGGGAGGATTTTAAATGCAGTTGAAAGGTTCGCTTTTGATTAATTCGGGCCGCCGAGCCATTATCGGCCCTTCCTTATCCGATAAATACCTCGGAGCGGGGAAAAACCGGGTTGAAAATCGATTTTCGATCCAAGCCCCTCCCCTTCGTCCGAGGGGTTCTCTTTGTTGTTTTGTTTTTTTTTTCCCCTCCCCCCTCTGGGCGCGCGAAACTAATTGGTTTTTCGTCGAAGCAGAGCCGCTCGAGCCTCATCATGGACGTGGGGCGCAGTTCACTGCCGGTAGTAGTGACTAGCGCGGTGCCGATCGGCGAGCTCGCTTACGAGCAGATCGACGTCAAGGACCTGCCCGAGATGGAAAAGTTTACCGTCGAGCTCAAGAAGGACAGCTGCGGGTTGGGCATCACCATCGCCGGATACGTTTGCGAGAAGGGTAAGTGGATCGGTATCGACTTGTACCGGAGGGTAAAGAAAAAAAAAAATAAAAATGATTCTCATTGCAGAGGAGCTGTCGGGCATATTCGTCAAGAGCATAAGCGAGGGAAGCGCGGCCGACCTTAGCGGCAAGATCCAGATAAACGACCGGATCGTCGAGGTGAACCGGCACTCGCTCCAGGGCTACTCGAACCACGAGGCGGTCGAGGTGCTCCGCAGCACCGGCCAAACGGTCGTGCTTTGTCTCGAGAGGTACCTCCGTGGACCCAAGTACGAGCAGCTACAGCAGGCCATCGCTGCGAGCGAGCTCAGATTACCCCAGCCCGGCTCGCCCTCCATTGCCAGTCTGCCCACTTTTCCCATCAGCGCTGTTAGTATATATTGTACACGCTTGTTTTATTTTTTCGCTCTTGCTTGGAATCAAATTTTTGTGGCTCATATCGGTGGTGGATCAAAGCCAAGTTTCAATTGGGGATTTTCCGCTCATTTTGAAACAAAACAAAAACAACGATTGTTCGGACGGTGATGATTTCATGATTCAAGGACGGCGACACGACCCTGGAAATCGAGCCGGAAGGCGAGTCCCACACAACGGTCGACAGCGGGGTCCTGCAGGAGATGGATCGGGACGTTGGGCTGATGGACGAGCTGCCCTTGAACGTCGAGGCCTTGCTCAGCGATCCCTCGACCGAGTTGACGCCCAAGATCGAGCTCGCCATCAAGGCCAAGTGGCAGAAGATCGTCGGCCCTGACATCGAGATAGTGGTGGGTGTGCGATTCCTATTTTTTCGTCTGTACATACTTATACAGGGACATTTTTGCTGTTATTGACCCTTTGGTGTTCACTTGATAAGGTGGCGCAGCTGAAAAAGTTTGCGGAAGGCAGCGGACTCGGGATCAGCTTGGAGGGTACGGTCGACGTCGAGAACGGGCAGGAGGTGCGGCCGCATCATTACATCCGATCGATCTTGCCGCAAGGACCGGTTGGACAGAATGGCATACTCAGATCCGGGGACGAGCTTTTGGAGGTAAGCCGATCGGTGTACTACACTCCTTCCCTTTCACGTTGAATCGATTGCGTTGCAATGTGGGATTTTGTACTCAGGTTAACGGGTATCGTTTGCTCGGCATCAATCACATGGAGGTGGTGAGCGTGTTGAAAGAGCTGCCGATTCACGTGCGGATGGTCTGCGGGAGGAACATCGCCTCGCAGGATCCGCTCTGTCCGATCGACACTGCCCAACATCAAGCGGCCTTCCAGACGAGGGTAATGTCCTTTTGTCCCGTTTCTTTTTCTTTTTTTTTTTTTTTTCTTTTACTTGATGAATAACTGTGGATGATATTACAGAGCATACTGGGTGGCTCGCTGCAAAATTTGCTGCCGACTTCGGATCGTTTGGTCAAGGCCAAGTCGGACGGGTCGTTGGCCTCGACTACGACGACCGCGACCGTGACAGATGCGAGCTTGAATAAAATGAAATCTCGCTCCCTCGAGCCGCTGACCGGGCTTGCGATGTGGAGCTCCGAGCCACAAATCATCGAGTTGGTCAAAGGAGAGAGAGGCCTTGGGTTCTCCATTTTGGATTATCAGGTGATACATCTCAAATTTATTAGAAACAATGCGAGTTGATCTTGTACGTGGTGTAACTTGTTGTTGGTATGTTTTGTTATCGTGTATCCAGGATCCAATGAACCCCAATGAGACTGTGATAGTAATAAGATCCCTAGTGCCGGGTGGCGTCGCCCAGGTCGATGGTCAGCTCATCCCGGGCGACAGACTGCTCTTTGTCAACGACATTGCCCTCGAGAACGCGACCCTGGACCAGGCGGTGCAGGCCCTCAAGGGCGCGCCCAAAGGTGTCGTGCGCATCGGCGTCGCCAAGCCCTTACCCATCCCCGATAGCATAGCACAGGTGAGCGAACATCATCAGCATCATCAGCACCAGCAATTGTCGGCGCTGGCCGGTGTCGAGCGCCCCGAGCTCAGTAAACGGGACGCGAGTCTCGAGCCGCTCGTGGACAGCCACAGACAAAGGCTCGAGTACTTCCGCGAGCGCAAGATCAATGTGCTGCAGATGCCTCATCCGATGGGCTTGATCGAGGGCTTGCAGCATCAGCACAATCTCGTCAAGTCCGAGAGCTTTTGAGCAAAGCTGATGGTGAAAGCCCTCGGTGATTCATTCGAACTTTGCCGTACAACATCGAAAGTGAAGTTGTTCGGGTTGGGGATGATTTTTTTCTTCGCGATTAAAGCGCGACGATGGAGAATTACGCGTCTCCTAATTATGAGCTTCCGGTTGATTTTTTTATTTTTTTATTTTAAGTAACGTATAATTTATACACAGGGGCAAAAATTGATCCAGTTTTTTCGGATCCTCTGATTTTATTTATATTTTTTGATACGCTTTTCAACGAACCGAATTTTTGATGTTGTATTCATTCTCGGTTTTTTTTTTCGCAATCAGCACTATTTGCAATATCTTGAAGTTGATTACATCAGTTGATAGAGAAAAAAAAAGTCTAACGAAACAATCTAATACGCCTTGGATAGCTTGCGATGAAAATGTTGCACGAGAGATCGTGAGTAAGTCTCATTTAAAATTATACTTATATGCTTCTACGAAAATGTTTCAGATTTAATTATCTACTGTTTTTTGATTTTCTACATTGTTTGAAAACTTCACTGCATGCTATCCTTGGTAGACAATCTGGAAAACTTGCAACAAACAAAATTAATAAAACACGTCAGTATTATGATTAAAATATACACATATTTAATCTTGGGGATTGAATAATCAATCCCATGCAAAGGTGATATGGTATAAGTACTGATTACTGATTAAACATCCGTAATATTTTATTTATCTATGTATATAATATATAATTATTGATTGAATCAAAGCTATTTATACAAGAGTACACAACACTTTATTTTATTTTATTATTTTTCAAAGTTATTTAAAAAATTTATATTTTACCATAAGTTAATATTATTTTAGATTTGATATGATTTATATACATTAAATTGATGATGGAGATATCCAATTTTTACACCAAGTTGTATCTAAACATTTATTCATTACATTTTTAATAAACATTTAGCTTTTACCGAAAACGCGATTAAAAACTGTACTACAAATCAGTGTGTACTTAATAAAAATGTAGTTATGTTCAAAAAGTAACTGCTTTTGCGCACATATTGCGTTTGATACAACCAATGTACATCTATGAAAGTAACATGTTTAAACATATCAATTCAGGAAGAAAGGTTTTTTAACATTTGTAGATACACACAGTCATCAGCCAAACCACGTTTTGTTTTATTTGTACAAATCACATCCTGCATCGTCAATATTTCACACATTTTTTTGTTTGCGCTTACATTGTTTGTGTTTTTCCACATTTTTGTAACAATAACGTGTTAAGTGTGTTCAATTTTTAGCTCAGCGCATGATCAACGCAGCTATTGTTTATGTCCAAACGAGTGTGCCTTATTAATGTTTAATGTGGCAAATAACATATTTTTGTGCTTGTATATGTTGCAAAGACTTATTTATATGTCAAAATAATTTTAAGAAAGCTCATTTCTGTATAATAAATATTGTTATTATACAATGTTGCTGTCACCGTTTACTTACACTCAAATCTTATCATTTTACTCATGTTACATTGATAATTAATGATACAATGATGTCGCTTGACTCTATACTGAAGTCGGCGATGAAGTAACTGAACGAAGAATCGGTTGCAAGTTGCAAGTTTGCTGTTATACCTACGTTTATTGATTTGACTGTTGGGAGACACGTCATATTACGTGTGTTACCAACGAAAAAAATAAAATAAGTGGTAACTTTTGAACAAAAGTGGTACACCACACTGCCACTTTTTTGCACAGATTTTTCAATTTGTTTCTTGTTTTTTTTTTTTTTTTTTTTTTTTTTTTTTTTTTTTTATTAAAATTAGTGAAACAATGGAGAAAATCTGTGACATTGTGTATTTCATTCCACAAAACAATAAATAGGTTGTTGCGTACGTTTTTTTTATTTTGTTTATTTTAGAACCTCCATTTATTTTGTTTTGTTTCCTTTTAATGTCCTGATCGTCACATAGCTCAGAAAAAAATAATGGCACATATCAAAAAAATCAATAATTTACATCAATCGAAACGAAATTGGTGTAAAAAATATGTCATTATTTTTTTTTGAGCGAAAATCAATAACACATACTTTAATTTTAAGTTTCCACACTAGGTTAATCACGTTTATTTATTGTATTTTTCATAAACCATGAAAACCATTCTTGCTGAATATAACTTTTCTAAAGTATCGAAATGAAAGTGCGTATTTGTAAATAATCCGATTACTACAGGGTCACAAAAACTGATTATACATGTAAAATAAACATAGTTTCGTAGAGGTATAAATGTTTAACTAAAAAATGAAAAAAATGTAAATACGTTATCATGGCTCTGCTCGAATCTCTGATACAAGGTTAGAGACAAGGAAACAAGTCCGCCAATATATACATGTTTTCAACATCATGTCACATATTATTTATGAAGCAGAGGAAGTCTGAGCAGCGGGAACCACTTAAGGAAAATCGTCGAGAACCCGTCGCGAGGACCTTTGTTTTTTTTTTTTTTTTTTTTACTCTAAATAGCGCATTTAATATACTTGGAAAACGTAGCAATGTGTTTTACGACGGTCTAAAGCGTACGATCGTTCCGTTTTGTTTCCAGATGCACTATCCGCAACTACCCCGAAGGCTCCCGTCAAGCCCAATATACTCACGTAACTAGTACAAAAATTTTCTACAAGTATCGAATACTTTGCCTATACCTTTTGTAGCGATAGCTGTAATGTGTAATAAATTACCAACACTTGCGTTTTACCACCCGCTTCTCTCGTATACCTATAAGTAAACATTTGATGGTGTATCTTAATTTTATTGCTAGAATCGCAGTGTAACGATGTTAGAGTAAACTGCTAGTGCGAATTCCTGACATCCTTGTATCGCGCAGATGCAGCAATCGATCCTCTACACTCGTATAGCGTAAAAAAGAAACGCTTTTTGTTCAACAGTCACATTTCAATTCATTTCAATTGAGATTAGTCATTCGTGTTTTTTTTGTTTTTTTCATAAAAAGTCCTTTGTAACGTTTGACGTTTGGCGTGCAAAATAATAAATACATACGTATAAATAAAATAAAGACTCTCCGCAGCGAAATTAATTTTTTTTTTGTGTACTTGAGAAAAACATCAGAGTGCAGGTCCAGTATAATATTATGCGTACCTGATATAGCTCCCAGCCATTTGACACGGTTATATGCGAACTGGATATCGAGACTTATTGCTTCCGACCTATATTTTCTCCGCTCCATATGTATACCTCGAGGATCTGCTCGAGATGAACAATAGTAGACATGGCTATGTATATACACTTACTTATGGGTCGGTCGCACGTATATTTTATGGCCGCGAGATCGATTGAATCGACGCTTAAAAGTGCGAGTATTTTGACTCTAGTCATTCCGTTGAATTTTTATAGGAACTTTGAGAGAAAGAAAAAAAAATTGCCTTCTCTCCACGGCTCTCGCGAATGGGAGGGATTTTCTGACTTTCGTCTGTGTTTCATGTGGCACCTGAGCTGCTTTGGTCGGGCGAATTTTTTTCCTCCGATACTTTCATGTTTTATCGAATTTACGAGCGAAAAGAAAATGGGGGAGTGCAATAGTAACGCGGAGTGAGTACGTGTGCCTTTTAGAGGTAGGTATTTCTTAACAAAGTAGTGAAAATTATAGATTGTGAATAGAATAAAATTTTATTTTTTGAATATCGGATGGATATAGTTTGCTAGATAATACATATAAACTTGATGAAAAACGATCATCTAAATAAGTGAAAATAAACGAACGACTAGTTTGTAGACCTATTAAAAGAATGGATAATCGAATTTAGTTTTTTTTTTTTTATTTTGAAATTATTGAATGAGAAATCGTAGCTGTACATACATATTTATTTAGTTAGTATTTATTTTATTTACTTTACGCTTGCAGATATAGTTGTGTGTCATAGTTATAGCTCGTAATGCATTTATTGATAAAACGATTTTTCAATAATCCGATTTGGACAAAGTGTAGTTTTTAAGAGACAAAAGAAATCCCGTACATTACCGAATCGAAGGAATTTAAGTATAACATTTTTTTTCCTGTACTATAAAATTTTTACTTTATGCCCCTTCATTTTTATCTAAAAGCATTTTGCGAGCATTCGATAGATCTTTTGTACAATAACAATGGGATGATATTCTGATTTATTTTAATTTCACGTATTGCATAATTCTCTTTTATACTTACTTTTAGGTTTTATTTATTTATTTATTTTTTACTTATGTTGAATGCTTTTATACGCTATATTTAAAGTATATTTTTTATTACTACTTAAGATATGCAATTTTAATTTTTGCGTCTAAAAGTTGCACAACTTGCATTAAATTTCACTTTTCATATACTTTATATATTTTTGTATTTTACCAATATCAAGTACGAAAAAAAAAATTATACATATCTGTACATAATAAATAATAGTACGCAACACTTGCGACTATCAAAAAACGGTTTGTAAATTTATTTATATTCTCTATCAAAAGCTCACATTATCAAGCATAACTAACCACTGCATTGAAAGCATATACTAACGAATGCATAAATATTTTTTTTTCCTCTATCTGTCCGTTGTATTGTCTCACCATCACTCCAAATACGACTGAAGCTCTAAAAACTCTATTCGCCTGTACGCTTGAATTATCACATCTTTAGCATTATATACTAACGTGTGCCTATGTACTTTGAATAATATCGCCAAGTAGATGAAATCGTTTGGTGAAAAAAAAAAAAAAAATAAAGCTTTGGGGTGCGTACTCCTTGGAACTTAAGAGTTTCCCGCTGCCTCATACCCTCCTGTTTACTATACTGTATACTTACTAGTTTGTTTGTTTGTTTTATCCTACAATTCTTTCTTTTACTGTTAAGACTTTGTTATTGCGAGTATACACAAATAAATAACAATGATAATCTGGTCGATGCAAATGTTGTACAAAGTAATCTCTTTTTTTTTCCATGCTTTTTTAAGTCTCTTTTCTCCTTCTCTGAAATCTATTGTATTATATATATATATATATCAAGTACTGCAATTAGAAAAAAAAAATTACTGATTACATATTGATATAAAGTACATTAAAAGAACAAAAAAAAAAAAAAAAAAAAAATACCACGACGTCACTGATTTGACGGCGGTCCTAACTTTGAAATTCTCTTACTTTTCAGAATAACTTGTAAACTCCAGAGACGGAACGCGGAAGGATAATCAAACTCGATAACACAACCACTATGACCAAATAAAACAAAAAGTAAAATGCAATATGTCCTTGTATGGTGTCAGTTTTACCAGTACTACGATATTAATATACAAATATACAAGTTGCGTTGATTATTATTAATAATAATAATAATGATGATGATAATGATAATAAAGACGAAAATCATTGTACATATCAACATGGTATATATTGCTTGATTTTTACACCACCCAATGTTATATCCTAATTTTGTTTATCTATCTTATTCTTTGTTTTTTTGTTAATGGAATAAAAGTTTTTTTTTTGCTATGCTTATACGTGCGCGATTAACAATCGTTATGATGAACTACTTACACAATAAGTATATTGTAAGAAAAGAAAAGAAAGTAGAAAAAATCGATATCTGATCGGGTAGCGATCGGTAAGTACACGTTCACTTACTTACACTCCCCGTTCCACATGCAAAGAAATTTGTCTCTTATCATACTATAATATGATATAGAATATATTAATTGTTCATTTTGAATATTATTTACCCCATGATGTGAAATGAAGTCGTTTTCTGGTTTGAATAATTTTTTTTTCCCTCAAATTTTCAGACTCTTTGTGTACACATACAATTCTTTCTTTGAATTATGATTGGCATGTTTGTACACGCACGAGTTTAAATCTTTCTCTTCACCAATGACGATTTTTTCGTCCTTATACACTTATTTCAATTGTTTTTGCGTGATAAAATTGCCTTGCCAAGTTTTTTTTTTTTTTTTTTTTTTTTTTCACTTAAGTATAAATTATTACTTTGCTCTTGGATTTTGTTACTTGAATGCATTTTGATGAATCATTATTGTCGTAATTATTATAGTTATTGTTATCGTTGTTAAATTGTCATAATAATTATAATTTGCATTTATAAAACTGTGTTTGGAGCGTATAATAATTAATCATGTTGTCTAATTGTCTTTACGAAAATGTTAGGTGATGTGGCAAGTTACAGGTAGCTCTATACATAATATACTTGCAATTAGACACGGTGGAGTACTTATGTTTTCGAGAATAAAATACAATTTGTACTACTTAAGATGGATTTAAATCTCGAGCGTAGGAGGAGAGTTTTTTTTTTTTTTTATGGAAAAATTCAACGATTCGCAGGCAGTGGTATTATTATTTAATAACAGCTTATGTTCAAACGAAAATAACGCAATCGGCTTACCGTGTGACTTTTATATAATTATATATCTAGGAGCTGCGCACGTGAAAGTCTCCGTCGAAATTCTGATGTATTTAAGGGTTTCACAAGTTTTTTGAGACATTAAATTTATAGATACCAATAATTTTTAAATCATCAATAGACTTTTTCGTTGTTTTTTAATGATCTTGAAAAAAAAAAAAAAAATCCAAGGTCAATTGATTTTACAACAAACAGGCGATTCATCGTAATTAATGAAACCAAAAATAAGGAATAACGAGCCACTGTTCATTGAAACGCACAGTCAGACTCACCGGCGTTGAAGTAAAAACAAAATTTCGCGAATAATTTCCGAATCCCGAAGGCCATCGGAGCAGAGAGTGTTTCTAATGGGAAGGGAAAGAGCGCCTGCAGGGAGGAGGGACGTAACGAGCGTCATTGTGCGGCCGAGCATACAAAAGAAAAGCCATGATTCGCCGGCGCGTGTAGTACACGCGTAAATGAACGTAACAACGTATAGAAGGTACATACATAGGCGCGCGTCAATTGGATCTCGCGAAATGAGAGCTTCGTCGCGCTGTTGGTGCGACGCGTGAATGTGTACGCTACGTGACGTGATTTCTGGGAATTCGGTGAATTATAGGGTCTCGTTGATGGCTCCATTGTTGCGTCTGGGTATTTTTGGTTTGTACTGTTTGTTCAAGAGCTGTAGCACTGGGCAACCTAATTTCTTGACCCAAAAAACACACGTTTTCTTCATTCCCATTTCGCTGAACCTTTTCTTAATTAATCAATTAAAACAAATACTTATCTCAATTTTTTTTTTTTTTTTTTTTTCGATCTAAAAATAAAGATGATTTGTTTTGTTTGGGTTGCTCAGTATAAATGTTTAATGATGCGGGTGATCATTGAAGGATATTATGATTAAAAAACTTAATACATTCGATCATTTTATTGGACGACTGATACAATTTAGTAGATATATGTAGGGCAATAATCGCGAAATCTAATGAGTTTCAGCCTGAAACTAATAGAATATTTTTTTTCTATGCTAATCTGCATTTTTTTTTTTATTTTCACGAAAGATTTATTGGTATTAATAATACTTATCCATAGGACAACGAAACGTCAAACTGTTACAAAGTAATAATCAACCTCATGGTCTCGAAATTAGAGAAACTTTTTACAAACACAATAAAAGCTGCATCTGCGCGCGGAGCGAGAAATTACCGATTAACATTTTTATATTCATGGAAACTCGAACCAGCAAAAAAAAGGTATGCGAAATCACACTTTCCTCCTTAATTAGAGTACCACTTGTCGATCTCGCGAATTTCACCTTGTACAATTCGAAAAAAAAAAAAATACATCATCAAGCATCACTTGCGGCTTTGATAACTAAAGTTAGTGCAAACACGGCATTGTCATGTATGTATACGGCACATGCGCGCGATCGAAAGAGAAAATCGAGCACGCAGTTTTGTATCGGTAAGTTATTTGGAGCGTGAAAATTTTATCGATTTTTCAGACTTTCTGCTTCAGAGAAATATCATACTCAAATCTTTCTCGCGTGCATATACCACCAGACTGTCACATTTTCGTAAAATCTTCACTCATTTATAGTAAAAATTGAACAAAAAAATTAATAAAAATATATAAGTGATATTTTAAAGCGTTTTATCGAGTGTGTATGCGAAAATAGAAACGTGTTTGAATACCGTATAATCAAAGAACTTTCAACAGGACAATTTTTTTCGGAATAGCGATCCCTCCCCTGGATAATTACGCCCTCACCTGTGCAGCATGGAGGGTATCAGTGCACGTGCGAAAATTAAACAGAGACTGCGTCACGATCACCTCAAATAAAAAATCCCGATGAAACTGTGGGATGAATCGGGATATTCCGGAGATTTTTCAACTTATTCGGTTGAGCCTAAATTTTCAATACTTGAGCAAAACTCGTTAGGAGCTCTTTTTCTCAATTATTCGCCAATAAAATTTACTCGAGGCGTAATTAAACGAAGTGTTTTTTTCCTCCGTTTCCACACCTGGCGAGCAATCTTTTTTTTTCCGGGGCACGAAAAAAAAAAATAAAATAAAATAAATAAAAACAAAAAAAAACAATAAAACACCAAACGATGCGGAGAGAATTTCTCGACGATTATCTCAGCCGCGATACGTCGAGTAAATAATCGCAGAACGAAACAACTGAACGCGTTGCAGCAACAAAAACACGTAACCGCACGCGCATTATACACATAAACGCAACGCTTTCTGCTTTTTGCACGGAGGCTTTGTGCAGCCGAGGCCCCGCGCGGGTTAAAAGTGAGATTCCTGCGCTCAAAGAGAGCGAAAGTTTTGAAAGAAACCAGGGAGGATGGCAAAAAAAAAATTGGTCGTTATCTCTTGGGTACAGTATAGGGTAATGGGCTTGTTTCGTTAGTATACGTATATATTGTACACGTAGAGCTAAATAAGGAAGAAACAGAGTAGAGCAAATGTAACGTTGCGTTGTAATTGGCGTTTTAACGGTTAGAAAAAATAATTTTTTTTTCCCATCACCCTTCGATTGAGGATTTTTTTTTCTTGTACTAGTTGGGATGTACCAGGTTTCCTGAAAAAATTAACAGGACACAACTTTTTTTCAAGATTTTAGATACGTTGTTTGAAAAACTTGCCGATTTTTACCGATTCAGTAAATTTTTATAATTATAATTTCCAATGTCGCATTTCCATTATTTTTTATCCACATTAAAGAAATAATTTCTTCTTTCACACTAATAAATACAAGAATCAAGCCAATCTACTTGTAGAAAAATTTGAGGAGTCATAATAATTATAATTTGCATTTATAAAACTGTGTTTGGAGGTCTATAAATAATCTCGCGAAATAAGATTATGGCTTCTTACTTAAAGAAAATATTTATTTCAAACAAAAATATTTTTAGTGTAAAAAAAAATCACGACCGGCTGGTCCGCCGCCATACGGACGAGGTTTGTCTCGAAATTATTTTTCCACTCGATTTTCATGGCCAGATTTGCGATCATTCACCATAATTATATGATAGTCCTTACAATTAAAAAAAAAAAAAAAGTAATAATGTTCCATAGTTCGATATTTCCCGTGTTTTACCCTCAAAAGACCCCATGAAAAAGTCAGCAAAGAATTGAAAGGGTAAATTTTCGTGTCACTAAAACGCCGATTCTCCGTAGACTCCCTCGAGTACTCCATTAGGTAGATTACCAGGTCACCCCGTGCAGACGGGCAAGTAACACAAAAATGAACCAATATACCTCCATACCATCGAACGAATGCGCGTCCACTTGGACGCTTAACTGTAATGTATTACTGATGTCTGTGTTGCGCAGCGCCTGTCGCAGATGTGCATAGTCAGGCGGAGTAAGAGCCTGCCGGACAGCGACGCTACCGATCACGCGGCCGATCTCAACGATTTCCTGTCCTCCCGATCAGGTGAGACTTTACTCGTATGAAATCCCAAAGCTTTGGCTTTGCGGTCGCATCCGTACCTAATGTACCTTTGTTGATTAAACTTTTTCACGTTTCAAGTTCGTATTTTTTCAAAAAACATCTCACCGATACCGAGCTTTTCCAAAAGTGACAGTATCGTACCTTCATCCACGATCAAACACAATCAGTTCCTCAATTACGATGCAATAACAAAAGCCAAACGTACCCACCACCCCGTGTAATGTACACTTACAACGCAGACGCAAGTGGTCCCGAGCACGGCCAGCCAAAGGCAACTTGCGCCGCGGTCGAGCCACCGGCGGTGTCGACGGACAACGTGGTCCTCGACTTCAAGGAGGTCCTACCGAGGACGAGGAGAAAAGACGAGGCGCTCTCGCCTCTGATCAAGCTCACGCCCTTCCCCGAGGAGCAGAGACGGGCCCTTGTGAGGATCAGTCCTGATGCCACGCCGGGGGACGCAGGGCCACTTGGAGCAGGTGAGATATTATACCCATCTGTAACCTCTTGTCGAGGAACGCCAAAACTCGGTAATATATCGGTCGAGGCGTCGACGATTTTTTGCATATAGGGCAAACTTTGCACACCCGCCGAGTTAAATAAATACGGAAAATAGATGTGTATTCCACTTTCAACGACAGTTTTTCTCCATGTGCTACCAACGCGACATTTCAATACGTTAATTTTAAGAAATGGGTTTTAAATACTCTTCGGCGTACAACTTCCCTCTCTAGACATGGCGAACTAGTGTACCTAATCGTAAAAACCACGTGTAACCACACCAAGTTGTCGACGAGCTCGACGGTGTGTTTTTCGTTTTGTCTATCTGACCTTCCATAAATTAGGTACCCGGGGGCAACTGAATTTACTGTGTACGACCCAAGGCGTCTCGTAATTATTTACAAAAGTAGCCCACGCAAGCTCGCTGGTACTCGTTCCATTACCCCCCACATGCCATATATTACACGCACCAAACAAATAATCACCGCGCACGCACCCAGTGAATGCCCCTCTTGACCCTATGGAAAAAAAAAAAAAAAAAAAAAAAAAAAAAGCTCGCCTGACCACGTCCCATTCGTCACCCAAATGACTCTACGAGCACAGGTGCCCCGGTCGAGCCGTCCAAGCGGCGCAAGAGCGACGCCGAGCTGCTCCACAGGCAGGACGAGGCTCCATCGGCGAGCTCCCGAAGGCGCAGCCTACGCCAACAGGAAAGCATCGATCGGGTGGCCCGTTACCTCGACCAGCAGCAACAGCGCCAACGCCAGCAGAGCAGGAGCAACAGCCGCGAGGAGCTCGAGCCCACGCCCTTGGACGAGAGCACCACCGAGGTGGAGGGTGAGGTTACAGTTCCGAGGAGCGCGCTCGACGTGCCGGAGGTCGATGGTGGCTCCGGCACGCCACCCAAGAAGCGCAGCTCCCTGAGGAGGAGACGCGAGGACGCGGAAGAGTCCGCGGTTAGGGATGCACAGGTACACGGCACCGTATATATACATATCACGCTGGCCTTGGACTTGATAAATATATGATTGTTGTTGTTCTGCAAATCCATGTAAAAAGGACAAGGCATCGGCGCTGCCGTTGGAGACTGTGAAGAAGACGGTGCGCATCAGCTCGGTCGAGGAGGAATTCCGTATCGAGAGCTTCGACTCGGTGGACATGGACGAGCTGTCGCAGCAGCCGTGCGCTGAGATGCAGGAGGTCCAGCTTGTGACGGCGAAAATAATCACTGCCGAGGAGCTCGTTGAGAACATGGCCAGGCGGGAGAGGAGTCCTCCGAGGGTGAGTTTCGTACTTTTTTTTTTTTTTTTTTTTTCCGAGAAACATCTCGTACGTTTACTCATTTTTTTTTTTTTTTTTTTTTTTTTTTCCGAGGGAAAGTGTTATTGCCTCGTAGTCCTTGTTTGAAAACCATGCGTACACGGTTATTGCTCGTATTTCGCGGAAATTCTTACGATCCAAACAACAAAGATTTCATGGGGCTCTCACGAAAATGTCATCGCAAAGTTTATCGTAAATTTGCTTTATTTCGTATGAAAAATAGGTATACATTGATAGGCATTAAAAATAAAGAGGGGAAAAAAAAAAAAAAACAATCTAGAAAAGAGAAAAAGTAGAGTCTATTTGTTTGAAAAAGTGAAAATTGTACGTGATTTCAAATAATTTGCAATAAACTTTAGATTACATTTTTTACATAGAAACTTTTTAAAATATTTCATCGAGAGAATAGTCATGGATGAAAAATATTCCTAACTCCTAGATTTTTGACATCGTTTACAGATTTTAAAGTTATAGCACAATTTTATTTGTACATCCGTATAAAAACGTTGGGCATCTCGATGAATAAGTAAATATCGTCCAGAAACTATTGTTTTGATATCAATTTGGACTCGTGTCCGTCACTAAAAGTACACGCACCATTGGTACATCGACGGCAATCAGTTGTTATCCCAATAGACGTTTTTGTACTGATTGCAAGACAATCTCATTGCTTGGGTCCAAAACAAGCGAACCCATATAAATTTTCCTTCGCAGGAAAAACCCGAGGCTCCGAAGGAGGAGGCCACCTCAGCGGAGGTCCGGCTGCAGGTCCCGGCACCGTTGAAGCCCAGCGTCTCGGAGAACGCGCTGGGGGGCGCCAGGCCCGACGAGAACAAGATATCCGAGAAAAACCTCGCGCCCGAGATCCTCATGGACCTGTCGCGCGTCTCGGCCGCCGAGCCGGGGCCCCTTTTCCTCGAGGAGGAGCTCCCAAGGAAGCGGAAGCTCAACCGAGTCTGCAGCGACAGCGCCGTCAAGTTCCAGCTGGGCGGCCACTCGGACGAGGAGGCGGCTTCGTCGAGCCACTCGCAGGCCGATTTGACGAGCGTGGGGCTCGATCTGGTGGAGGAGGTGGTCGCCGAACCCCCTGGCGGTGCCAGCAGAGGACTGGACGGCGCGACGGACCAGCGAGTCACGGAAGGGACGAGGATCACGATCAAAAAGTCGAGGAGGTCAGTGTTTTTTTTTTTTTTTTTTCCCTTTGGAAAAGATCCACTCGTCCCCTCTGCTCTTGCGTATGTACACAGAGATACCCACCTATATATCTTCTAATACCCGTAATCCAACTTCTCTCTCTCTCTCTCTGCTTAACTCGGGGTAATCCGATTCGCTTCGCCAATATAATATAAGATACTTTTCCGCGCTCGTTGCACAACTAACGCGGTTTCCGTATGCATACATTTTTACGTGGGCTAAAAACTTGCCCCTAAGTGTATACATTACCGGCATAACCACTAAAACAGATGTACCGACGCTTCGATGCGCCTATACACGTGTCTCGCGCTCTTAATTATAATTCACTGGTCGCCACTGCCCTCGCTCTTTTTCTTATTTTTCTTCGTTCGTTTTTCTCATCGAGCAGTGCGGTCACGCCAGTGAAAGAGAGAGAGAGAGAGAGAGAGAGAAAAGAAAAGTAGTAGTAAAATATAGGCCGATGAACCTGTCATTCGCGTGCGGCGCGCCGGCCGCTTGGCTTACAAATGGCTTCCGCCCGCGTAGCGCTAAACCAAATCGCGTGGCTTGTTTACTTTTCGTAAGCTCATTAAAGCTCGGAGCTCTGGGTCGAAAAGGAAAAAAAAAAGGCACGGTGCTCGCGCGCGCGTGTTGTATGTGTGTGCCGTTGCGGGGATTTTTTTTTTTTTTTCCTCTTGATTTTTTGTCCCTGGGCATTTTTAGCGAGTCGCTCTTTGCACACACAACTCAGAAAAGTGTATCTCGAGTTGTATCTTTACTTGAGAAAAAGTAAAAAAAAAAAAAAATAAATAAATAAAAAAGTGTATTCTGTACGTTTTTAAGGTGAATGGTTTGTCTCGAGATACCCTTTTTTCACTCATTATTTAAACAAAAATACAAAAAAAAAAACAATACGTATGGAGACAAGGATTTGGAATAACCTTATCATCGAGATATCGAGAAAATCTAATAGAGACTGGATAATTCGCTTTCGCTGGTGCACAAAACGGATTTCACCCTCGGCTAAGCGTAAACAGATTAGTAGTTCCCGTCTCTTGCAAATCCACGTATACGTACTTAGACTCGCCACGTAAAAATATATCCCTTCCACGGTCGATCTCCGTGACTTTGATGCAACATCAACACAACGCATTGTTTATCGATCAATAAAGCAAAAGGATCGCCAAGAGTTCGAATAGTCATCGGCGTCTGCCCAAACTTGCCCGTTACTACTTAAACGCATCCAAAATCGGGTAGGTGTAATCCTTTGACACTCAAACTCCCGGTCAAGCGCCAATAAGGGGGGAAGGGGGAAAAAAAGAAAACCAACTCGACACACTAATTACCGGTGCATGAACGATTAAAGAAAAAGGAAAGCCGAGCAAGAGCAAAGTTCCTGTATGTATATACATCACGTGCACACACACACACACACCTGCCGGTGTAAACTGTATAACAAGCCGCAATATTCGTCAAAGCGTCCGAGAGTGGCTCTTTGCGGGACCCGCCAAAGCCTCTCACCCGCCCCACTGCACGGATGGACGGAAATGTATTATATATAGAGGGTGACCCAGATTCCAAGCGCGCGCGCGAGCACGGCAATTAAGTACTCGGGGGTTTCTAGAGCCACGCGCGTAATCCAACCCGAATCCGCGGCGGGCCGGTCACGCGGAAACGCCGGTTTTATTCCCTCGCTTTTGCCGTACGTATAGGGATGCCCTCGGGACTCGGCTGAATCTGTCGCTCGAGGAGATAAGACCGGAGGGAGGAGGATGCCGCGCTTGGGGACCCGACGGTGGGAGTTTATCGGAGCATACATTTTTGGACGGGTAGTTGTGTCTTTCTTTCTCTTTGCTATGTACGCACCCCTTTGTTTTCCCGGTTGGGTATTGAAATTTCACTTGGAAAAAAAAAAAAAAAAAAAAAAATTGCAGAGCCAACCGAGTACGTTTCCGTGTCGCAAGCAGATGTGTATTATGCGCGGAGAATAGTCGATCCCCTCGAGTAAATGCGATTTTGTCATTCCAACGGCGGTGGTGCGCGACCTACTTTACGAGGAACGCCGGGGGTAACGCAACCCCCCACGTGTCAGTGTACATCGGTTTCTTTCGATTATCGAGGAAAATTTTGTTTGATTTTCTGTTTTTTCTCTTCGACAGTTCACGACGTAGACGAGAGATAACTTCGTCGATGGCTCTCTTGGATGGAATCGCAATCTCGTTGTACACGATACATGTATACAAAGTTTGGGCTCGAAAACAGTAGCTTCCAGTCTTTCCCTCTTTTCTTATATCAAAACAATTCTGATCCTTAAAATGGGCAATAAACAATTTTTTTTTCTTTTTTTCTGTAGTACATAATTATACTCAACTGTACTTTGGTAAAAATCCTTACATCAATGCGATCGAGTTGGTAGTACGTGTAATACTACGTTTACCTTGTACGATTCATCTCTAAATGTATTTAGCAACGATCCGTTGAATGTTCACTCAAGTTTAGGGTACCCTTTTCAGCGATGGTCAACCCCACACGTGTAGACGGAAAAAAAAATAACAAAAAGCACAACCGGCCAACTTTGATCGAAAGTTCGTCGACTCGCGGCCGGAACTTTCTCAAACGCGAAAAGTAAGTAGCTTATAGGAAGAAATCCAGGCCAAAGCCCCCCTACTCTAGAGTCTATTGACTTTCCGTACTTTGACTGCAAAATTCGCTCACCCGCGCCCCAACGCGATTGACCGCCAAAAGCCTATTCCCGACGCGCTTTCATCTCCAGAGCTCGCAAATCAACGGAATGACATATCACCCCCTCTCTCCCGCTGATGAGTACCTATATAGTCTACGAAAAGTGTACAGTCCCACGCTAAAAGTTTTTTGTTGCCGTTCATCAAAATTGTTCCTCATATACAAATGGTAAAACCAATGAAACAGTTGTGCACATGCAGCTATTCCCATGGTATAGGTGTATACATCCAACACTGGCATCGTTAATACTCTCTCTCTCTCTCTCTCTCTCTCTTGCTACCAAAGCGAGTACATATTATTATGATGGAACCCAATCAATTTGCCTCGTAGCGCGCCAACAACTCCCACCCACACGCTACACCCCTATATAATACATCCCCATTCATCTTCCCGTATCTTGCTCTTGGATGCCTATGTACACGCGTCCATTACGCGCTGCTTATCTCGGGGAGTACAGGTATACATCCCATCGCCTCCCTTTGCCCGTATCCCCGAAGACGGTACCATCGCGAAAGTAAGTATTTCCGGGTCGCTCATGGATGAGTACGTATAAGAATCGCGTTTTTTTTTTTCTTTTTTTCCTTTTTTTTTTTTTTTTTTTTTTTTTACATACAAACCCGTGTGTGCGCGCGCGCGCGCGCGAGCAGTGTGTATACGGCGAATGGTGGGCAGAGTTGTTTATTAGATCAGCGTAAGCCAGTTTGCAGTGACGCACGACCGGCTGGTCCGCCGCCATACGGACGAGGAGAGCCTCTTCGGGGCGAGCTTGCTCGGACGTACGAGCTTTTCTGAGTCTGTTGCGCGAGGAAGGGGACACCCAGTTGAAGTTGTACGCGCGCTTGGCGTTTTTTCACGAAAAAATAATAAAAATATGTAGATACCGTGAGACGGGTTTATACAGATCGCGGGTGTTGCCAATAAGTTTCGGTGGTGGTGGGTGTGTTGCAGTGTCTCGTATTGAGTGCTATACGTGGTGATTCCGTGCCCAAGGGAAGGAGGAGGAGGAGGCACGCAAAGCGCTCTTTCAAAGCCGACGTTGAGGGTACGTCGTACACGATATAGGTACACACATCGGCTTCGTATATATGTATATTGGGAGATTGGGTAATTAAAACTTATCATAACTTTACGATCGATTTTGCGGTTCGAGCACAACCCCCCCACCCCCAACCATCGCTTTTCTTCCCCTCCGTGACCATTGTTGTTGTAACTGTATATATTATATACATATATATATATGTTACATGATGGGCGCGATCCGGCTTTCAAAGAGGAATTGCGTAAGAGCCGGATTCCATCGAGTTAGCGCTAATGAGAGCTCAAGGAGCACGCATACGTATACGCGAAGGGATTGATTTTTTACCATTTTCTTTTTTTCCGATTTTTTTCCTTCCAAGTTCGCGTAGTTTTGTCCAACACGGAAACGATATCAAACGCGAATGTACATACGCACAGCTCGCGATCACCAGCCATATCGGTAACATACACATGTAAATCGGTGTACATACATATTCGTACAGGTCAATTTCATCCGACCGAATGGCTTAAACAAACAAAAAAGAAGGATAGGAGTAGGGGGGATCGCGTGCTAATATTGGACGTGAAACCGATTGCTCTCTTTCTCCGGAACAGCTGTATATACACAGCATCGTTGAAAAACACAAGTGTAGAGGAAATCGCGGAGAAGCGTCGGCAGATTTTACAATCGCTCGTTTATACAAATCCACACCTACATGTATACGCAATTGATTGTTCAAACGGGCGTTTGTTGTACATATTTTTTTTTTGTTCATACGACCCACACTTTTTTAATACCATCGATTTCCCCCCTGACAACCCTCGTTTCAACGTATACTTTCGTCTACCCAATCCTCGGATCGGCCATAAAACTCCACCGAGTCCAGGGTCCAAGGGGGGGAAAAGTTTTTCCATCAGAGTGCGTATATATATATATACTTGTCTCGGTGAGTAACCCTCGACTCCCTCGTTAACCGCACTCTATATACACAAACAAAACAAGCGCGCCCTTCGTGAAATATTATTACCGAACGGACGAAATTTAACGAGCCGCGCGAATCACCTCGTAAAAACCCCCCCAGCCTCGCTTACGTCCCCCCCCCTGCCACGTGGCGCACCGAACTCGATTGATTGAAATATTCACGCCCCCCCCCGTATCCCCAACTGCGTATTATAAGATTGTCGATTGCAAATATCGTCAAACGCTTCGTGCCCCTACCTATACACGTATATTGTACGTATAGCAAACGACTTGCCTTGGAGGAAAGATATACATGTATGTATATGCTATATCGACACGTGGACGATGTACATCGCGGCGACCTTGCCGATCGCTCGGCCGAGTCGCGTCAAGTAGATCAATTGAAGAAGACTCTGTTTCGTATGTATATATACACGATGTGATATCTCACGTATACCCGGGCATACGCGTTTGTGCCGACTTTGAAAGCATCCTACGATAGTACCATTACGATTTCTCGTTATTCTCAAAGTTTATCGCGTTTGTTTGGGTGCTGTTTGCCGCTTATACAGTTGGGGGTACATTATTCGTTGTGTGTAAGACCACGCGAGCCGTCGTTGCGGGCAAACGAACGGGGAAAAAAAAGTTCACCGATGAGACCCCGTGCTGATAAGATTCCCACTGCTTTTGCGCTGCAAGCCCGAGGCAATCTGTCTCTTTTTCAGTGATACAAATATCGTAAAGTTGGCTGAATTTCTTTTTTTTTTTTTTACGAATCGGATCCTCGAACTTTCAAAAATGATACGCTCGAGTTCCTTGCCCTTCGGATCAGAAATTTATCCAAGCGACTCACTCTATCAACTCTGTGTATAATACAGCAGAGGTTTCGTTTGAAAAAAAAAAAAAAAAAAAAAAGAAATCGACAAGCACCATAGCCAGGCTTTTCATCCGGAAAATCAGCTCGAGGGGGGTCGCGAAAAATTCATACACCTCCACGAGCCAAGAAAAAAAAAGTGGGGGTATACTTCCGGCACTTGGCACCGGGCCAGCCAACGTGGAATGTCTGAATAACCAAAAGAGGGATACGACCCGAATATGTAGTCTTCGACCGCGTAACGCTCGCGCATGATATCCGTGTAACGATGAAGGGATGCCGGTGTCGATGAAAACGGTGTATACATATAGGGTCCGAGCTTGCGGGGTATGCGTTATCGGAGGGTGTGACCGAAAACAACGACGGAAGTGAGCCAAAAAAAAAAAAAAAAGAAAAAATGCTACGTACAGCTCGTGTTTTCATCCTCTTTCACTTCCGCGTTTGCGAAAAAAAAAAAAGAGAGGAAGAGCAAGAGGCTCTTTTAGGGATTTAAAGAGAGATGAAGGGGAGCTCTCTCGTGACTTTGTGCTAGTTTTGATGCTCCTTGAAGGGATTAATAAAAAAAAAAAAAAAAAAAAAAAGGTACTCTTGGTGAACTTGGTTGAACTTTTGAAAACCGCGTCATTTGCAATTACCCAACCACTCAGTTACACTATAGCTTGTACCGACGAGTAAAAACTCTCAAAGGTAAAAGCGAGGGGGCACTCTGCGTTGGAATTCCGACACTTTCAATTAAGATTCCATGTCCAAGGCGCGCCAAAGGCCTCTTTTGCTACCACTAGATTACTTTTTTTTTTTCAAACAATACGATCTTACGTAACACGATTAAAGAGAGGGAGAAAAAAAAGAAACATCGTTTCGATGAATTTATGCACATTTCGAGGGATTTCGGGGTACTTTTATTAAAAGAAGCGTAAGAAGGACGCGAACGTCATCGAGAGATAATAATCAGTCGATACACGTGCTCACTGTGGCTATTCGGGAGGAGTTATCGAAGGTACAGCGTTCGTTATTATTAATAGACGTGTATGTACGAGTTTGTGGTTGTACGTGGACCTACGATACTTGTAATTTCTCCGTGTGTGTAGGTGCTTCACGGATATACGCTTATTATTCCTGAGTAGGGCAGGGTATTTTGGTACACCCATCAAATGATTTTAAATGATGTTGGAGCTGGAAAAAAAAAGTACAATAGTCGAGCGAGGAGGATACATGTGTATTTTCATATCCATATGTATATACGAATAAAAAAACATACATCACAAGCAAAAGCCACAATTTATCTTTCCTCTTTCGACCGCAGCGATACATCATTCCGTATCAAACGAATCCCCCTTCATCCTTTACCATTTGCTGTGTGTGTGTATATGCAGGTATAGCTTGTCGAAGCAAACCGAGAGCTTGCAACGGACAGCCGAATGGAAAGCGAGCCGTTAGAAAATCATGTACGCGAGCGATTCCGCTAAAAATGGTTTTTGAGCCATTTAATGCAGCCTTGTATTATACCGGATAATATCATGTGGTGGGGGAAAACAATTTTAGTGATACTATCAAGGGTTGGATGCCATTTTTTTAAGAAAACAGCTTTTCGTTGTAGCTTTTTTCGGCCGAGGCTGGATGAAAATTTGAAATATAATATATGCTCAGTAGTTAAAGGAAAAACTTCGAAATTACTTTTTGGGTGGTTAAAGTACAAGTGATTGATGCTTGGAAATTGTAAAATTAGGAATTTTCGTTGAAAATGATCAAAATAAGAATGTCATTTAATTGATTGTGCTTATAACTTGTGTTCCAAAATGTTATTTTTTGATCGAACATCGTTACTTAGTTTCATTCATTTAATGAAATCTAGAAAAAAAGCTGTAATAGGCAAAAGTACCATTTTTTAAATAAAAAAAGCCTGCATAAAAAAAGCTTTTTTTTTTTTAGATAAAAGTTTTGTTAGCCTCTTGTATTTACCGCATTTTTCATTCCCAATCACCTTATTTTACCTAAAAAAACAGTTACAATGAAACAAAAAAGTTAAAGTTAATGATTGAACCGTTAGAGGATTAGCTCCAAAAACAGAAAAAAAAAAACACTCCTAAATGAAAAAACACTCGCGAAGCCCAACTTTTTCGCGTAACCGCTCGTGTACCACACCAGCACGTAAATACAGAAAGATCCAGAGATTCCTCCTCCACCGCGTGCCCATTCTTTATCCCCGCCCGTGGAGAGAAGTATCAAGCCTATTAGCCGCTATATACCTTGTGTGTGCACACGCCACCCGCCACTGTTGTACCTGATGCGAGTGTACGATCGATCAATAGGTCGGGCGAAAAAACGTGGCTTCCTCTTGTAGGTATACGTATGCATGCGAAGTGTTGCACACCGACTGACCCTCTCTTTCTTCGGGTCCCCCGCGACTCGGTAGGTGCCCCTTTTTCCTCTCGTTTTCGCGAAATTGACGTCTCTCCGTATACATATAAGCTCGAATTGGCGCATTTCAACTTCTCTCCGGCCCCTATACCCGAGAGCTTTCCGTGCGCCACTCGACCGGTCTCTTTGAAATCCGAAACACCGACGCTCGTCCGTGTGCGCTTATGTAACCGGGGCCGTGCGATCAAAGGGATATCGTGTTTCGTCGTGGGAAGGACAAACGGAAAGTCGAGCAGTAGGTAACAACTGCCGGGCGAACAAACGCTTTCTCGCGGAAAAATGTTTTTTCTCTTTTGCCTACACGATGCTTATATACGCGCTTGGAGTTTGGGCTTACGATGATTCGAGTATAATATATACCTATGGATGCTTTTTCGAATACCTTGTGTCGTCACTTTACTCTCAAGATATTTTGTTTTTCTTTCGTTATTAATATACTTGTACAGTACTTACAAATGATGCATTAGATTTTCGATACAAAAATGTGTTGAAGCGATTGTATTGCTTCGTTGACTTTTAAACAATGCGAAGGAATTTTTTTTTTTTTTTAAGTATATTCCGTTTGCTTTAAAAGAATTTTTTATTCATGACTGTTTGGAATACAATGTTGAGAAAAAATTAAAAGGCAAACGTAAGTGTAGTAAGTTTTGTACATTTAAATTTATTGTCAAGTATTTAAATACCTTTTCAAATACTTTGACTGTTATTTTTTTCCAAATGGTCATCATACTCTAATTGTAATTTATTTTTTCGCTGAAAAAATTACGCGTTATGCTTTTGGAAAAAAAAAATTCGCTTTAATTTACGACTACGACAAAACTTTTAAAACACAATCACACCGGTGACAGCGGCTAATCAGGATTTTTCGGGTATTTTTATATTTTCATTATAGCAAATGACGTCTCAAACACGTATGGCACATCTCCTTCATTATACGAGCTTACGGGGATATACCCTCATTCTAAAAAGGGATCAGTACTGATTAAATTCGTGGCTCAGATACTCCTTCGCGTAAAGTGTACAACTCTTAATAATTTTTTTTTCTTCCTGTAACACATACCTATTTAAATAATCAACTGAGCATAAAATAAATCAGGTAAATGACTTTTGAAGCTAGCACTTGTAAGCTACATTTGAAAAGAATGCGATTACAAACACATTATCCGAGAACAGTTTGGAAAAAACGCATTATCTCGTACACGCGATGCGTTCGAGGACAAATTGCTCATCTCCCGATACGAATAAACTTTGGTATCCCCGAAGGAGAAAAACAAAAAAAAAAAACAAAAAACCCATTGATCTCTTTTCCAGTACCGAGGACGTGAGCCACTGCATAGATCCCGGGGACCCCGATCAGCCACCGCTCTCGTCCGACCTCCGGCACTGCCTGTCCGACAGCTCGCCCATCTCGGAGGGCCACTCTCGCCAGCGCCGGCCGGCCTCTGCGCGGCGCGCCACCTACCGCGCGAGCCTCAAAGCCGTCGACCAGCGTCTCCACGACCGCAGCATCCGCGACGCCCTAGTCCCCAAGGAGGAACCCCCGCCGAACGATGACTCGCCAAGGGACGACGAAATCGCCGCCGCGACGAGGGAGGCAGCCGGCCGGCCCTCAGACCACAAGGACACCACTGGCTTGATCGCCTGCCAGCGCCAGGACATCGAGAGCCCCGTGTCCCTCGAGGAGCTTCTCGATACCACAGGTGGGTAAGGACATCTCGTCTCGATATGCGATTGCACAGGATGATGTATGCGTCACTTGATGCCTTTGCCTTCTGTGGCTATAGGGAAGATGTTGTCAGTGGCAAGTATATAATAATGTCACTCCAAGGCGCGTAATTTAATTGACAATTTTTTTTTATTTCTCGGTATTGGTTATTTCAATTGTACACATTAAAAACAATTTTTTTTTATTAATAGGACAATAAATTATTTCAAAACGAAACAGAACATTATACAACCAAAGAGATACAGCAGGTGATGATTTTAAGCTCGAAAGATTAGAGTGCAAATATGATAATGTGAATCCTAAAAATAGTGGTGTTACCAATATCTTTGATCAAACGTATTTCACTTAATTGACAAGAGTGACGGGTATTAAAATTCATCAAAAGGACTCCAATCGTTGCAATTGTGTGGAAATGATAAAAAAAAACTTTCAAATCCCCGATCGAGCTGTAGGCAGTTCGCCTTGGGCCGATGGTTTGACCTCGCGGAGCTTCTGCTCGTGCCGGGAGAGCGCCAAAATGGCATCCTTGCGCATGTGCTCGATGAGGTAGCGGAAGGTGCTGAAGCTTTTTTGGCACACCGAGCAGCGGTGGCGGTTCTCCCCCGTATGGATACGCAGGTGCGACATCATGTTGCACCTTTGGCTGAAGCTCTGCTGACAAATGGCACAACGGTATGGTCGCGCGACCACGTGGGTGAGCGCGTGTCGCGCGAGATTGCTCGAGTACTTGAAAGCTCGCTGACACGTGGTGCACTGGTAGGGATGCTCGTTCGTGTGGGTGCGCGAGTGTACCCTGAGATCGCAGGCAGAGCGAAAATCGCGGGGGCACGTGGGGCACCCGAAGGGACGCTCGTCCGTGTGGATGAGCACGTGTCTGGTCAAGCTCGTGGAGTTGCTCAAGTTTTTCTCGCACACGGAGCAGCGATACGAGCGACCGTTGCTTTGGACGAGCTTTTGCTTTTTCCCGGGGTGCTCGGGCTCGCCCCCTTCGGCCATTGTTGACAGCCCAACGACCGGGATTGGAATGATCTTTGGGAAGAAAAGGCTGCTGGAAGAATACTTACTTTTATTACTATACATACATTTTTTTTCCATTAAATAACTTACGAGATTTAAAAAAAATTATTTTACTATGAAAGATTTTCGGCTGTGGTTAGTTTTTTAAATCGACTGCATTTCTCGAATCGAATGTTCATGGATAAGATGGACAAATAAAATTTTGCTAATATTTGGGCATAAAAATAACTTGGTTCAAGTTTAGTGAAGCTAAAGCATCTGAGGGACAATTCATGGACGTTACGTTTGGAAAAAAATTGTAGAAAAGAAAAATAAATATTTACAGAATGGTTTAAAACATACGAATGTGCCGATTGGGTACTTGTCATGGAAGAAAAGTGCCAAAATACGTGTAGCACGATGTGTCTTCCCAAAATTTTTCTTTCAATTATTAAGACTTGAAACTCAAACCAAGTATCTTTGAAACACGAAAAAACAATACAGTCTCAAGAAATTTCACTACTTGCTGGTTAAGCAACAGAATTGTTTAACTAATTCACTTCTCAACTTACCTGGGAAGTGTTCGTCTCAAAACAGTATACAGGTAACACTTTACGTCTTGACAAGTTTAACAGTTTAACCCCAACTTTCTACGCGTCACTTGAGAACAACGACAGTTAAGTATTTATGATTATTAATATCACTCTATTAAATCTTGTTAAAAAACTACGTTCTAAATCCACTTTTTTCATGCAGTTGTTTAAAACGTGCGATTCGTACGAGTAGACGTAAACGAAGTGTTTGCTCACCCAAAAGGCGGATGTTTAAAGTATACGGTACGTTTTTGGATTTGGATAGCCTGTGACAAAAATGATATCGTTAATAGCATAATAATAGTTATTCCCACCACACCCCAACGTTACCTTACAAACTCACACTCGACGAGGTCGAGTTGACGTATCAATATACTTGTCACAAATTCGAATCGGTTTAACGTTGCTATCGCATCTTTATGAAACTCGCGTTCATTAGTCATTACCCAGTAACAGCTCGAGGCTTCCAAACAGTGAAATTGAAAAATGTTGCAGTAACGAGGTTCTAATTTTACAGAAAAACATGTTTCCCAAGCTTATAAACATTCCAAAAACATTCCAAAAAAAGAAAACTTTTCCCTTTCTTTTTTCAACATTTTCGAAAGTAAAGTGACGTTGGCTCCAATAAATAACACACGTTTGAACCGCAAAAAAAAAAAAAAAAAAAAAAAAAAAAAAAAAAAAAATCGTAGGACCACAAATGGAATCAATGTTACATTACTCATAAAGTTCTGAAACTATAAGGGTCCATAGACCGTCCAAACGATGAAAATTGACCAGTAGGCAATGTCCGCTTACAGACCCGAGCAGTCCAGCCCCGGAGCCCGAGACCTTCTACTCGTCGACCCAGAGCCTCCTGAGCGCGTCGTACAAGTCGTACGGCAGCCCGAGACGCGAGGCCGAGACCCAGACCCAGGGCGAGCACAAGTCGACCCAGTACGAGCTCGAGGACTTGGCCGAGTTCTTCGAGGAGGAGTACCCGCGCGGGCGCCTCCAGTCGCTGGTGGAGGAGCGCTTCGGCAGCCCCCGCCGCGAGGCCGAGGTGCAAACCGAGCAGGAGTCCAAGGCCGTGCAGTGCGGCAGCCCGAGGAGGGAGGCCCAGGTGCAGACGGGCCAGGACACCCAGTGGACGCAGTGCGACTTTGACGAGTTCGAGCAGCCGGTGGAGACCCCCGAGTCGAGGAGCGTAGCCACCCAGAGGTGAGGGGTGACCAGTGCTCGTGGAGGGGGGGGGGAAGGGAGAAAAAGGGGTAAAACGGTGTATTTTGCAGGGTCGGGGAGTTCTCGTCGCTGGAGAGCGCATCGCCGACGAGCTTGTCGCCCCAGCCCGAGGAGGGCGGAGCCTCGTCCGTGCTCGTGTTGGTCAAGGGCGGCGGTGGCCTGAGCCGCACCCTCGACATGACGGTCACGCACCGGGACAAGGACGGCAACGTCGTCTGGGCGAAGCACTGGGGCCCGGAGAGGCTCGTCGAGGTGTACCGCGAGCCCATGACCAGTCTCGGGCTCAGCATCGTCGGTGGCAAGGTCAACTCTTTTGCCTTTTCGTTTACACCTCTATACACATGGGAGCCAAGAGGGTTATTCACGTGCCTTTGAGTATTTCGCTTCCATACGTATAGTACGCTTGACATCATACGGATTATATATGTGGCAGAATAAAAAAAAAACAATAATAATAACAACAATATGTTACGTTTGAAAATCATTAGTATACGTACATCAATCAATTTTTAACGATTATTGGTTATTTTTATAGTGCGTTGAAATCATGTCGTTAAAGACATTTGTTTTTGACGTTTCTCTAATGTGTTTTTTAAAAATTTAAAAATCATGAAATTTCGATGGATAATTCGAGAGAAAAAAAAAGGGAATCCTTATCTCGTATAAAAAATAATAATCCCTCTTGATGCAATGATGCTTACTCCGTTTGAATAACAAATTACATTTTTTTATTTCATTCGTTGATATCCGATTACTGTGATGTATTAATTAGTGAAAAATCTAGTAGATCCATGCCAAAACGGCCAGTCGAGCGAAATTGATGCATTGCCGGTAACGCAGATATATGGGTGTAATGTACGTGCTTGGATTGCAAAACTGGATCGCGCCGAGAGATTACACGTCCGATATCGCACGAATTTGAATAGTATGCACCTAGTCGTGCATATATATATATATATATATACATACAGTTAATGCACGTTTGATATAATGCCACAGAGCGAGAGTGCGTGTGTACATACTTAATGCACTCCGGGGTACAGTGCCGTTCTTTCAATTAAAAAGTGTAATTAAAGCGACAGCGCCGCCGGGGGGATTATGTATATACACGGCGTTGAATTTTCGGGCGAATCGAGCTTTCAGTTTCGCTGAAGAAATAACCGAGGGCGCGTACGTTACTGTAGTTTCCCAATGCGCAGATTTTTTTTTTTTTTTTTTTTCTTCTTGCTTTCGTTGAACGCGAGATGTGGTTTTGCAGGTTGACTTGCAAGAGAGCAGCAGCTCGACGCAGAACGTGTCCGGCATCTTTATCAAAAATGTCATACCACACAGTCCAGCCGGCAAATCCGGAGGCTTGCAGGTGAGTCAAATTTGTACAACTTTATCATGAAGTTGCACCTACTGTTATTTTTTTTTTCACTGCTATCGTGAATTAGTTAATAACAAAAAATGATTGCTACTCTTCCAAGCTTATTTTGCAGGAACAAGCATTTTTCTAAATTTAAATTAAATAAAAATAAAATGAAAAAAATATCAGGTCGCATGTGCATTGAAGTAGATAGATGTGGATGGTATGTTTAGAGAATTTAAAATAATTCAACTCGCTTTTATTTAAATTTTCAATTAAAGTCACTTATAGACGTCTTATCACTCCGTTTCAATGCAGCATCCAAATGAAATGCATTGCTGAATATTTGGTTTGAAAACAATGGTTCATTGAAACTATTTTTCCTAACTTTTTATTCTGAATGAGCTTCAATTTAAATTCAAAATACTATAAGTAAAATAAAAATATTACTTTGTTTTAAATACAAAACTTGAAATAAATAATTTTTAATACTAAAAAAAAAAAAAAAAAAATGAAAATTTGATTGAATCGTTTAAAGTGCAAGCATTGTATCAATTTAAACATTTATGTCAAATACTTTAGTCGAGAACTAGTGTAATTGATTACAGTTGCATTAAAAACGTTTGTTTGCATTTGAAATAGCACAGAAAGTTGTCAAAAAAATTGTTCAACTCCTGCTAAATGCAATTTAAATGTTTTCAACACTTTTCTCAGCCAATCGAAAACACTAATCCCTATTTACTTTGCCCTACATTATTATTGCACACGATAAGTTAATTTTTTGTTTTTTATAATTTGTTTTTTTTGTTTAACATTATGAGTATTTTCTTCCGGTTAATAAACCCAGAGGTCGTGAAACCCATCAGGCGCATGCCAGAATAGCAATTAACGCATATCCGATTAAACTCGCGAGAACTCTCGGTGCATTAAAAGCTGCCCCATTTCGCTGCAGCATATATATATACCTACACGTATACATCATGATATAGCTTTGAATCGTTATGTAGCAGATGCATACGTACGCGAACGTCCAATTTCTCGATCGTCAAGTGCACACATACCTGTACGTATACACGAGCCCAATATCCAGTCGCGAACACACGAATGTATACCATACATGTGTATATATGACAAACTCGGTGCACCCGTTTATATATATGTACATGCATGGCATGGAAAAAAAAAAAAAAAAAATTCCATCTGTGCTACCCTCGTTTTCCATGCAAATCGTGCACTCTGTGTACATACGTACAAATGGATATCTCTCACGTGAGTGTATATATGCATAACACTTTCCCACCAAAGCATACCAGAGAAATATTCTCAAGAGAGAGCCGAGTTTTCAGTTTTCGTGCACCTGCCGATGACACTTACGGTACAAACGTTTTGATCGGAGATTTCAATGATCTTTCGCTGCGGAGAAATACCCTAACGATGTATGGTGTTGCGATTTTTTGGGAAACTCCTTCTTGTTCGCTCTTCTCTTTTCCAAAGGTACCCCCTTGACCCTTTTGTTTGGCAACTCGTCACTCATCTACGGCTGTACGAATCGGCATACAGTTCACCGCTTTATTGTTACTTGCGTGTAGTAAAAAGAGAGTTTGATTCAATACCATTGGTTTGAGAAAAAAAAAAATAAATAATAATCATAA